AGGGAGAACCACAATGATGGGGGTGCACAGCCCTGAGCTCCCTCCTTTCTCTCCTCCCCCTCCAGCCCCAGCTGTGCAGGGGGGCACAGCACTGAGCTCCCTCCCCTCTTCCCACCCCCTCCAGACACAGCTATACAGGGGAGCACAGCACTGAGCTCCTTCCCCCTTCTCCACCTTCCCAGCCCCAGCTATACAGGGGGCACAGCACTGAACTCCCTCCTCTCTCTCCACTCCCTCCAGCCCCAGCTACATGGGTCCCCAAGGCAGAAACTAGGGTCACAATCACAAAGCACCAACTGTAACCTGTTCTTCTGCAGCCTGCATTGGGCTGGTCCTGCTCACCCATGGCGGTGTCCTGCTATCCTTGAACCTCAAGGAACCTCTTCTAGGCCAGCAGACTACACCCAGCTCCTAGGCATGCAGAACCTGTGAATCCCTTTATCCTCTGGTCCCTACCTGCCCTCCAGCTCCCCACAGGCCCTATCACCTATCCACACCACAGCCAGACCAGGGAGATTTGGAGGGCTGGCTCTGTGGCCATGCCAGCTATTTCTGCATCAGTGTTGGTGTCATTTCCCCCTCCACCTTATCCTCCTCTCTGTCTCTTGGGTATCCTCAGACACCCAGCCTGCACATTCCCTCCCCAGTTTCCCATTTCTCCAAAAGCCAAATCATTCCTTGCAGACCTGCCACCTCCCACGACTGTGCTCTCAGGTATGGGGGTGACACACTGCTTTTCAGAATGCTGGCCCTTCCCAGCTAACATGATGCTGCCACATGGCGGTTTCTCAAGGGATATTGTTTAAGAGCAGTCCAGGCAGCATGCATGAGGTGCCTGGTGAGTACCACAGAGTGCAATATGGCTCTCTGTGCTGTATGTGGTGGGGTACATGTACACCTGCAATCTCAGCACTGCAATCTCATCTACCCCGCTGGCTGAGTCGGCATGATTAGAAGTCCAAGGCCAGCCTGGCCACCTTGGCAAGACCTTCCTCAAACAACCAAAAAAAATAGGGTGTAGCTCAGGGGCACAGCACTTGCCAAGCATGTATGAGGCTTCGGGTTCCAGCCCTGGTACCACAAAAAACAAATCCACAGTGAACCTCCTGGGCTCCAAGGGACACCTAAAGTAGTAACTGGCTGTTAAGGGCAGGATGAAGAAAGCAAGCTTCGTGTCAACATACTTCACAGGGAGAAGCTTCTCTTACCAACTTTCTGATGCAGACCCAGTGCTTGGGTTTCACCAGTAGGAAAGCAGTCTGGGTAGGGAGTTAAGTCGCCTTAGCTGCTTGCTTTCTCCTCAGTGGGACAAAAAACCTAACATGCACAACTTAAAGGAGAGGTGTATTGTGCCCCATGTTACAGTTCGTGGCAGTGGGCTCTAAGGCAGAAGCAGCACTGAGGAAGCGCAGGGCAGAGGAAAAGGCACCCAGCCCAGGGCAACCAAGATACAGAGAAGAGAGGGGCCAGGGGCAGAGAGACAGTTCGAGTCCAGCTCTTGACCTATGGGTTTCCCATCCTCACTGCACATTCAGAGATGGTGTCATCTCTGGATAAATGTGCTGATGAGCCCAGTCTGCCCATGATCCAAAAGGCCCACCTATGAGCACATAAGACTTCTGCGGAATGTTCTAGAACTCAGCCATAAAGATTTTCCTTAGGTGTAGGCAGAGAGAAAAGCATCCTCGGCCCATGTAACTTCCTCAGAGTCAGCCTCTGGGAAACAGGAGGTTGGACCTCATGGGATTTCTGGAGTTCCAAGGCCAGGGGCTCACTGTGGAGTTCAGGCTGCCTTGAACTCAGTATGTAGCCTAGCTGGCTTCAAAGCTGTGGAGATTTTCCTGCCTCAGCTTCCAGAGGGCTGGGATGGGAGGTGCAAGCCACCATGCCTGGCTCCACTTTGCTCCTTACACCCTCGTTTCTGCATATTCATGCTGAGGCCAGCTGCACGAGTCATTCAAAGTGGTTTCCTCCTTAGGAGCTCCGACCCCTGACCTCTGCACCAGGCTGGCCCTTGAGCACAAGGGCCAGAGTTCTCCCAACTCTCTGCAGTAGGCCTGCATTTGGGGAGCAGGGAGGCAGGCAGGGTGTGTGCAGCAGGGGCGGACAGCAGAAATCAAACTGTGGACGCATTTGCAGCCTTAAGCAATCTCTGCTCATTCAAATTAAATGTGAAGGGGCCAGGTGTGGTGGTTCAGACCTGAATCCCAGCATTCAGGAGGCTGAGGCAGGAAGATCACGGCCAGATGGGGCTACAAAGTGAGTTGAAGGCCAGCCTGAGCGGCATAGTGAAACCTTGTCTCAAAAAGACAGAAAACAAAAAGACAAAATATATAAATAAAGTAAATGTGAAGGTGTGAAGGGAAAATTCAATTTTTAAATAAAAGCCAGCCAAGAAAACCCACCTAAACCAAGTGGACATGCCTGAGGAAGCCTGATAACATAACATTCCTTCCTTCCCGTAACCTGCTTGTTTAACAAAGGACCTTGCAATGTAACCCGAGCAGTTTAAACTCCCTTGGCAACCCGTGATGTCACCCAACCCTCCAATCATGATGTGCCAAATCTGCCTTCATGTTGCCCGCCTACTTTCCCCATAAAAGCCTTGCAACCTTGCTGGCCCAGGCTCTGACTCTGGGAGAGATCTTATTCAGAGGTCCACAGGTGTAATAAACTGCCTCCTAAACCTGTTTGGTGCAGTTTCTTCCCCTATCCAGTCTGTTTTCTGTACCAGGTGGATGCTTCACCATGCCACACCTGGAGAGGCTCCTGCTGTGTCCTGCGGCCATCTGCTGTATGTGACTTCTTAGGTTGCTGACCTGATCATCTGCATTTCCAGCAGGGCAGGCTGTTCAGATTCACAGACACCCCAGGGCTCAGGCTTTATAGATGCTGTCATCTGCAGCCCATGGTTCAAGAGGCCTTGGCTTCCTGTCCTGCCTCACAGAGCAGCCTCTGGTCTGCCTGCCTCAGGATCCAAGGGGAAGCCCTGGCGTGGTCCTGGAGGAAGCACCTAGCTGTGGGCTCCTCCGGGAGGTAGTGTAAGCGGTATTAGAGGAGCCTGAGAGCATGAGGGCATGAAACAACTATTTGCAACCAAATGTTTAACAAAAGAGCGCCTGGAAGAAGAGGGGCACCTCAGCTTTGGTTGATTGAAAACAACTGGAAAGAAGCCCATTTTGGCTGGGGGCTTTGGCTTAGTGGCATAAGCGCCTGCCTGGCAAGCTGGAGGTTATGAGTTCGATCCTGGTAACACACACACACACACACACACACACACACACACACAGCCCATTTTACAGGGAAAGGAGACATTTGTGACCATAAATGAGTGCATCCAGAGGCTAAAGCAGGAAGATCCCAGAGAGTTTAACCCCAGCCTGGGGTAGGCAGTGAGCTCAAGGCCATCCTGAACTATACAGTAAGACCTGATCTCAAAAAGAAAACAAACATAAGACAGAGCAAAGCAAAGCAAAACAGAAGGAGCATTTTCCAAACAGTAATTTATTGCTGATGATAAATACGGTACAGCTGAGAGTCTCTTCCTTATTTCTGTTCTTTCTTGTCTAGGAGAGGAGGGTGCTGCGGCTGGAACTCAAGGCCTCCACGTGGTAGGCAAGAGCTCTACCACAAAGCTATACCTCCTATTAGTTTTTTCTTTTAAAAAAGCGCCCCCCCCCCTCCAAAAAAAAGGCCAAGCCTTTTTTGGTAAATGCCTGTAATCCTAGCACTTGGGAGGCTGAGGCAGGAGGGTCTCTGTGTGTTCAAAGCCATCCTATGTTACATAGTGAGTTTAAGGTCAATCTGGACTATGCAGCAAAGACTGAAAAAAAAAAAAAAGAAAAGAAAAAGAAGTCATAATCTACAGGAGATTCTTCCATCTTTTCTAGCTTTAAAGAATTCTTTAAAAACTTCATTCTATACTTTTATCATTAATGTGCTACAATTTTGAAACATGTATGCTAAATAAAGCAACACTTTTAATGTGTAACAAAACACAAAAGTTTAAACTTAGGAAAAATAGTAATAAACAAATACATTTTTTTTTTTTTTTAGTGGTGCTAGCACTGGAATTGAACCCAAGGCCTTTGCACTGAGCTAAATCTTCAGCACTTTGGACTTTTATTTTGAAAAGGCATCTCCCTTAGTTACTCAGGCTTGTCTTGCATTGTGATCCTCCTGCCTCAGCCTTCTGAGCTGAGGTATGCACAATACACCAACTTGGATAACGTTTCTCTACAGAGTTAAAAACTGCAATTTAGCTTCAAAAATATAACTGTAATTTGGAGCTGGTGAAGAAAATAACAGAACTGAAGTTAAGGTGTAAAGCATGTGGTGTCTAGCTAGGCTAAGGAGTTTTCCTTAAGATTTTCTTCACTTTTTGAATGGTGCCAGGGATGAACTCCAAGGTCTTCAACAAGTGAGATGGACACCTTCCTACCCTTCCAGCTCCCTGTTCCTTAATTTTATTTGTCGATTGCTTTTTCTTTCTTTTTTTTTCCTTTCCTTTTTTTTTTTTTTTGAGACAGGATCTCACTCTGCAAGTCAGGCTACCCTTGAACGGGTTTATGTAGCCCAGGCTGGTCTGGAACTCACAGCCGTCCTCCTGTCTCAGCCTCTCAAGTGCTGAGATTACAGGTGTGCGCCACTATGTCCAGCAGAGCTTGACTGCGCTTTTGAGACAGGGTCTTGCTGTGTAGTTCAAACTGGCCTTCAATTCATTAGACAACCCCACCTGACCTCAAACTCTCCAGGACCCTCCTGCCTCAGCCTCCTGAGGCTGGAGTACCCACAACTGTCCATATTCTTTAATTTTAAAATCAACTCCCACCTCTTCCGGGGTGTTTCTATGGGGGGAAAAGACCATAAAAAGGCCACTTTAACCACCATCCCTACTTAGGAAAGACATATTTACAGGTGGAGCGCGGTGTCCCCATCAAGCAGTCTACTCAGGCTCCCCGACTGATTTTCCAGAAGCCTAGCTATGAGGAGATGGCTGCTTGGTAACTGGGTGGGAGGGTGCCTGGGAAATGGGTGACCTCCGGCGCAGCTCCCCACCTCTCTCCCCTGACCTCAGCTGAGGCGCACCTCGTGAGCCCTCGTGCACCGCCCCCACCGCGCCGGCGCCTCTGCAGCCCCACTGGGGGGCGGAGGAGCGAGCCCAGGGCACATGATGCCCCCACCCACCGCCCGAGCAGCGCATGATCCAAGCCGGTCATGGGGTCCCGCCACGCAGAGCCAGTCGCGTCCAAATCAAGGCCCATGGCCTCGCCACGCCTGGGCACCTTCTGCTGCCCCACGCGGGACGCGGCCACGCAGCTGGTGCTGAGCTTCCGGGAGCGGGAGTTCCACGCGCTGTGCCTGGGCAGCGGCGCGCTCCGCCTGGCGCTCGGCCTCCTGCAGCTGCTCCGCGCGCGCCGGCCCACTGCTCCCGGGGCGCCCCCGGCCTCTCCACCCGCCTCGGTGCGCATCGTGCGCGCTGCCGCCGCCTGCGACGCTCTCGGCTGCCTGGGTGAGGGACGGGACCTGCTCGGTGCCGGTTCCAGGCGTGCAGCGCGGGGGGCGGGGAGCCGCTGAGTGCCCAGTTCAGGGCACGTGGCCCGCGGGTGCGGAAGGGGAGCTGAGGGGTGCCCGGTTCGGGGCGCGCAGCACAGGGAGACAGAGGGCTTCGGCACAATCCTCTGGGTCCCGGGTTTGGGACTTGCGCCCCGCAGGGTCGGCTTGGTAATGGTGCTGGGCGCATGGCCTGTAGTTGGGGTGCGACCCGCCGGTGGGGACCTGCTTGGTTCCGGCTGGGATGAGGGCGCAGGGGCGCAGGTTGGGCAGGACGACTGAGTTCTCCCAGTTCAGAAAAAAGCGAAGAAGCCGGAACTCCTCGGGGCTGTACGGGTGACTGGGTGACTGGAGAATTCTGCTAAGCAAGGCAGTTGGTGAGGTTTACTTCTACAGAGATTTTGTGTGTGTGTGTGTGTGTGTGTGTGTGTGTGCGCGCGCGCGCGCGCCCTTGGTACTGGGGTCCGAATTCAGAGAAGGGTTGCGGGTTTAATTCAGTGGCTTAAGCGCCACCTGGCAAGTACAAGGTCGCGAGTTCGATCCCTGGTACCAAAAAAAAAAAAAAAAAAAAAATTTAGGGGCGCTCTGCTCCTGAGCTGCTCCCTCTGACCTTTTTATATTTCATCTGAGAAAGACTGGCTGATTTGCCCAGGAGGACTCTAGGATTGCATGTACCCAGGGCCTTCGTGCTTAGCCATCTCCACAGCCCTTTTTCTGTCTTGAGACAGGGTCCTCTTAGCTCTGTGAATTGCCCAGGCTGGACTGGAATTTGCAATCCTTCTGCCTCAGCCTCTCAGACTCCTGGGATTAGAGGTGTGGGCCACCCCAGCTGGCTTCCAGCTACACCTCAGCCCCTTTCGCGTTTGGCATTTACACCCCTGGGAAGCAGACTGCATCCAGCTGACCCAGCCTCTCCTGAGTGCTTTCTGTGGGCCCAGCCAAGACTGGTTTTACAGTTTCAGATTCAAAAGAATGTTTGGTGACACCTAAGTGTCACAAGCATTTATGCTGGATGTCGTGGCACAGGATGTGGTAATCCCAGCTCTCTCAGGAGGCTGAGGCAGGAGGATCGCTATTATTTCGAGGCCAGCCTGGGCTATGTGGTAAGTTTAAGTGCAGCTTGGACTAGAAAGTGAGACCCTGTCATAAAACGAAACACAGAGACAACCAAAGAATTTAAACGTTAGTGCCAATATGTGAAATGTTACAAGGCACAGGCCCTGTGTTTGCCCTCTGCAGAGCAGGGTGCACATAAAGAGGTTCACTGTCACGGGTCTTGTTCAGAGTATACAGTGACACATTTTACAGAAGTTTAAACTAGATTTTGTTATTTTTTTGGAGACAGGCTCTTACTGTGTAGCCCAAGCTAGCCTCGAACTTGGGTCAATCCTCCTGCCTCAGCCTCCTGAGTGCTGGGATTGCAGTTGTGGACTACCACATCAGTCCTGGATTTTGCCATTTAACTTTCTTTTGGCAGATCTCCAACATATATAATGTAGCATATAATACATAAACAAGTATGAATTTCCATGTGCTGTACACAACCCTTCTCCCTCCTTACCGGGTGGATTCATTTGAAGGTGATTCCAGACTTCGGATTATTTCATCCATTCAGATCTTGGTATAAAGCATGGAAACATGAGAAGTTTAGACATATTTATCCCCACTGGTATCACTTGAAAAGAATTAAAAGCAATTCCGTAATAGCCTCTGTATGTTTGGTTAGCCCATAAATGTTGTTTTGTAGTGGGTTTGTTCAACTCAGGACTCAAGCTCTGCTCACATTTCAGGAGCACATGGTGACACTGTTGTCTCACCATCATGTTTTAGTATTCGGCCTTGGGCAAAGCTGTTGTTCATCGTGGGTGACTGCCCAGGGTACCCCAGTGAGCAGCAGGTGCCTAGGCTGTGTGTCCCAGGGCCCAGTTCTCTGTCCCCATGCCCAGAGTGACAAATATTGAAGATGCCCAAAACTGTGACTTAAGATGAATGCTGTAAGCCACTTTCTCAGACTTGAAGATGACAACAGGGAAGAAATATGTCCTTTATTAGGGCGGTAGAAGCATTTGGGTGCAGGGTCATCCAGTCATACATTGGTTTTCTTCCTGATTCTGCTCAGTCCTTTAGTAGTTTGGTTGGTTGGTTTTTGGTTTTTTGAGACTTAGTCTTGCTGTGTAACCCAACTGACCTCAATCTTGTAGTGATCCTCCTGCTTTAGCCTCCAAAATGCTAGAATTACAAGCATGTACCACCATCCCCTGCCTCCTTTCTTATTTATCCACAGTGTCTGTCATGTTTATGCAGCAGGAAGTTGGCTTTAGATATGAATTTGGATCAGATTCCTCCATATCCACTTCTTCCTTAGGGCTCATCATCCGGGCTTCTGTATGGCTTGCCTTCCCGGATTTTGTACAACACATCTCGGCTGGGAACAGGACAGACGTGTGGCCTGCTGCTTTCTGTGTGGGAAGTGCGGTAAGTTTGACCTCCTCCATCATCTTCTCCTCCTGCCTCAGTCTCCCAAGTGCTGGGATCACAGCATGTGTCACCGTGCCTCCCGGTGGAGAATCTCAGTGTGGACAGAGCCACAGTCAGAACCCACTGGAGCCAGGCCTGGTGGTGCATGCTTGTAATCCCAGCACTCGAGAGGCTGAGGCAGGAGGATTGCTGTGAATTCAAGGCCAGCCTGGGCTACAGAGTGAGTTCAAGGCCAGCCTGAACTGCATAGTGAAACTCTGTCCCAAAAAGATAAAACAAGCAAACAAACCAAAAGAATCCACTGGAGACAGACCAGGGTGAGAGGAGGAAGGAGGCTGGCTGTTTTTTGCTGAAATGGAACTTGATGTTCAATTTCTTGGAGTCTGTAAGTGCCTGCCTCTGAGTAAGTCACCTGCTGGTCCTGCTGCCAGGAGTCCCCTCCCTCGGTCCACCTGGAGGCACTGACTTCTACTTAGCATCTTATGGGGTGCTTCCTCAGTCACTAAGGAGCCCTGGCTCCTACACACAGGACTCCTGGATCTTCTTAACCTCTCCCTCCCGGGCAAGAAGCCTGTGGAGCCTCCTCACTCAGAAAAAGCCCAGTGTGTCCTCATGCCTTTCCCTTCTGGCCTGCAGGTGTCTCTAGGGCAGAGAGCAGATCTAGCATCCCCTGGGGCCCCAGAGGCTGCACAAACATGGGTCCCTGCTCTCCAGCGCTGCCCCCCCGCCCCACCTCGGCTTGTCCTTCATCGGGGAGGTAGGTGCCGTGGCTCCGTGTTCAGAATCTTTCACGGTGGGCTGTCTCTGCTTCCAGATGTGGATCCAGCTGCTGTACAGTGCCTGCTTCTGGTGGCTCTTCTGCTATGCAGTAGACGCCTATCTGGTGATCCGCAGATCCGCAGGACAGAGGTATTGCCGGGACATGAGGCCAGGTTTGCCCTGCACGGGTTCCTGAGCAGAGGTTGAGCTGCCCCTAAACAGGATGGGCAGGTAGCCTTGGCCCTGGAGCTTAGATGGCCTAACCTTGTTCTCTGGCACACTTGTCCCATCACTGGAGCCACCAACAGTGCTGCCCAGCCTGAGTGGGGTCCTTCTCCAGTACACCCACCCTGTGTGTCTCCACTCTGTGTCAGGGTTCTGTGCTGGCTCCCTTTGCCTGCCCTGCTGAGCTTTGGACCTCAAGTCCCACTTCATGCCATGGGGTGCCATTTTCCAGGAGTGATGGATGGTACTGCCACCACGTCCAGCTCAGTCTAGTTTGTGAGTTTTAGAATTTCTTATACTGCGGGCTGGGGATTTAGCTCAGCGGCATAAGCGCCTGCCTTGCAAGCAGGCAGTCGTGAGTTCAATCCCTGGTACAGATAAAAACGAAAAAGACCAAAAAAAAAAAAAAAAAAAAACAATTTCTTATACTGATAGGTATATATGAGCAAAAGGCCTTCCAGTGGATTCTCATCACTCTTAGATTCAAACAGGCATCACCCTGTGGTCCTGAGGACCCACACCCTATGGCCCTCTACTTTGCCCTGTCATGTGGGGTAGCTTCCAGAAGCTTCTAGAAGCTTCTGCCTTCCTTGTGGCCACTTCTGCCTTCCCCAGATCTAACCAGGGATGTGGAGCATTGAATTCTAGGCCTTTGGTTCTTTTTCTGTAGCTGTGAAAATTCTCAGCTTTTCTTTCTTTCTTTTTCTTTTTCTTTATCTTCTTCTTCCTGTTTTCTTTTGTAATGTTCAGGGCCAAATCCAAGACCCACATGTGCTAGGCAAATACTTTAGCACTGAGCTACATCCCCAGCCCAGAGAATCTTCTCTTTTATGGATGCATGGGATGCCATTGGGTCACTGGAATAAACCAGGATGATTTCTGCATCTCAACAGGCTTTGGAGCATAAGACTGATTTTGTCAGCAAGGCGCATGAACATGGGTCGCTCAGACCCACGGGTATGCTTTAGAATATTTCTATTGATGAATTATTAAGTTTATGAGTTTTATTAATGAGTATTTAACAGGAAAAAAATCACAAAAATAAAGTATTGCATTTTTGGTATCTATTGTTTATGAAAAAGCATCAAAATTTTCAACATTGACTGGTTTTTGGTGCAGGGTCTTAAAAAAACACCCTAACCCTGCTGAAACCTGGATCTTAATCGCCTTCCACCAGGAACGGCTTCCTGGTTCATAGGTGGTGTCTTCCAGGGTTCTCACGTGGCAGAAAGTGTAGGGGGCAGGTGCAGGCCTGTTCTGTAAGGATACTAATCCCACCCATGAAGGCTGTACCCTTGTGACTTAATCACCTCTCCAAATTTTCTCTGGTATTGGGAATTGAACCCAAGGCCTTCACACTAACCTAGCTCTCCAGCCCTATTCATTTCATTCTATTTTATTTTATTTATTTTATTTTATTTGTCTTTTTGAGATAGGGTCTCATTACATAGTTCAGGCTGGCTTTGAGCTTACTTTGTAGCCCAGGCTGGTCTCGAACTTATAAAAGATCCTCCTGCCTCAGCCTCCCGAGTGCTAGGATTACAGGCATGTGCCACCACGCCTGGCTCTTTTATTTGTGTTTTGGTACTGAGGATTGAACTCAAGACCTTGTGCTTGCCAGGTGGGCACTTGTGTTGCTGAGCTAAATCTCTGGCCCCCTATTCATTTATTTTGAAACAGAATCTCACTAAGTCACCAAGTGGCCCAGGCTGAGCTCAAACTTGTGGTCCCCCTGCCTCAGCCTCCCAGGGTGCTGGGATTACAGAATTGTACCACCATCACCTCTGGCTTCTTTTGTGGAGACCTAGATAGTCTGACTGTAGCAGATGAGAAAAGAACAGTGCTCTTGGAGGATACTATAGGTTAATTACCTATTCTAGAGAATGGGTCATGTTTAGTTTAAATGTCAAAAACAGCCATTTGTATTGGATGAGTAGCATTACAATTGGAGCAGGGCTTGGTGGCACACAGCCATAGTTCCAACTACTCAGGAAGCTGAGGCAGGAGAATTATTTATGCTCAGGTAGGTGGAAGCCAGTTTGGGTCACATAATGAGACCCGGTATCTAAACAGAAAAATTTTGAAAAGGTTAGGGATGTAGCTCAGTATCAAGGCTGTGGGCTCAATCCTTACCCCTCCCCCTTGCAAAATAAAATGAAAAAAGAAAGAAAAATAGAAGGTAAGCATAGAGCAGTGGAGGGTATAGCTCAGTGGTAGAATGTTTGCCTGGCATGTTGAGGCCTAGGGTCTGTATCCTAGGACCACAAAATAAACAACCAATTTAGAGAGAAAAAAAGAAGAAAACAGACTTAGAAAATACTACATAACATAGCAGTGCCCCCTTTTGGTGGGGTTGAAAGCAGGAATTGAACTCTACTCCTGTAAGTGGGCAGCAGCACTGTTCATGGTAGAACACTCCCAGAGCTAGGAGCCACCCCATGTGCCCGACAGATGTGCCCGACAGATGGGTGGGGAAGCCAAACATGATCTGTCCATGGGACAGGACGGGACAGAATTCAGCCCCCAGAAGCCAGGCCGTGTTGCAGAGTGGATGAACCTCAGAAACACACTGAGCGAAAGAAGCTGGACACAGAAGGCCACGTGGTCCTACATGTTTCTGTTGACCTGAAACATTCAGAACTGGCGTGGTGCTGTGCTCTCCTGGAACCCCAGCACACTGGGAGGCTGAGGCAGGAGGTTCCAAAGTGCCAGCCTCCATCTCCTGTCTGTGCAGCACCATCCTGCTCTACCACTTCATGGCCTGGGGCCTGGCTGCGCTACTGTGTACCGAGGGAGCTGCGATGCTCTACTACCCCTCCGTGTCCAGGTGAGCCCCAGCTCCCCGCTGCCCGGAGCCCAGCGCCCTGGCCCAGCCTGTGTTCTCCCCAGGCTGTGGCCACCTTCACAACCCAGCCAGCCGAGACCCCCGGGAACTCACTACTGTCTTCCTTCCTACTTTTTCCCCAATATTGGGACCAAAGCCAGGGCTGTGAGCCTGCTATGCAAGTGCTCTGCCACTGAGCCTCACCCCCTGCCCTTTCTACTTTTTATTTTGAGACAGGGCCTGAGTTGCCCGGGCTGGCCTTGCACTTGTGACCCTTCTGCCTCAGCCTCCTGAACAGCTGGGATGACAGGCGTAGGTCCCTGTGTCATGATGCTCTAGGGGCCTCCCATTTATTAGAGAGAAACATGATGACCTTTCTTTTTTGCCTGCAGTTTCTTGCTTTTTCTTAGAAAGATGAAGTCAGGGTCCCTGCAGGCGGAGTTGAAGCCTATCCATATCTTCCCTGTCTTACCTCCTGTCTAGATCGGTGGGCAGCCAAAGCCAAAGCATTTCTTTTAAAAATGACTAAGTATCCCCCACCCCAGGTGTGAGAAGGGACTGGATCATGCCATCCCCCACTATGTCACCACGTACCTACCATTGCTGCTTGTCCTGGTGGCCAACCCGGTGCTGTTCCACAAGACAGTGGCTGCAGGTAATGATGGGGAAGCGCTGTGGACACACAGCCAAGGGAAAGCCCCAGGCCTTGGATTGAGATAACAGTCCTCAGTGTCCTTACGGGATTACACAGGACAGCTGGCCCAGACCGAGCAGGTGCTGTACAGCTGGTGAAGGGGGACAGGATTAACAGGTGAAAAGGAGCAACCTGCTTAGTCAGAGACGACACACACCGGTGCTATGCTGTGATCCCTTAGGTCAGGCCCAGGACTAGTTTTCTTTTCTGGGCCAGACTCAGCCTGGGGCTGCCCTTATACTCTGGAGGCCCTGAAGGTGGCTTTGGGAAACTCAGGTAAGGAAGGAGTAGAAGGGGCCAGAAGTGGGTTGAAGGGAGGGCCTGGTCACTCCCATAATGCACCTGGTGGACAACAGGGAACAGGAAGTAGGGCAGGGGAAATGGGTCCACTGCCATGATAACAACTGGATAGGTGACTGTAGTGGGCACCTGTGTCCCGGCCCTCCTGTCTCATTCCACCTGCCTTAGGCCTCTGAGGGTCTCTCTAAGGGCAGATGCCTTATCAGGAAGGTGGTTAGAGGATCAGCTGTTGCTTGTAGAACCTTTTAAAAACGTCATTTAAAGCACTGCATCACCTGTAGGAAATTAGTGTATCTCCTTGAATGAGTTTTTGCCTACCTATCTTTAAATATAGTCCATCAGACACAGCAAGTTTGTGCAGTATTTCATAAAAACAGTGATTCAATTATTTCTCACAAGTGAAAATGACTTATTAAAAAATCACTGGAAAGGAAAACTGTGTGGTGGCACACACCTACTGAGGTAGGAGGCTCCCAACTGGTTTGAGGCCAGGCTGGGCAGAAGTAAAAATCAAAAGGAAAAAGTTCAGTATGATGTCAGCAGTAGCTATCTCTGGCCGGAAATCACAGGTCATTCATTATTCTTTTTTCCTTTCGTAAAACAAGCTGTGCAGTGCTGAGGTCAAACCTGGGTCTATGCCCATGCTAAGCATTCTACCCCCAAGCCATGTCCCAGCCCTGAAGTTTTTGCTAAACTTTTTTTTCTTGTTATTTGAGACAGGGTTTCACCATGCAGTTCAGGCTGGTCTTGAACTCACTTTGTAGCCCAGGCTGCCCTTGAACTCACAGTGATCCTCCTGCCTCAGCCTCCTGAATACTGGAATGACAGGCATGCATGCCATACCCAACTCTTACTAAACTTTTTTTTAATGTGTTCTAACATGTCTTTGAGGAGAAATGTTACATTTTTCAATATTTTAAAATAAGTGTGCCTTGTTTCATAATAGAGAAAACCTTCAGAAAAGCAGTAGTTAAAGCTGGGCATAGTGGCACACGCCTGTCATCCCAGTGCTCAGGGGGCTGAGACAGGAGGATTGCTGTGTGTTTTCAGTGCCAGCCTGGGCTACACAGTGAGACCCTGTAACAGAGACAACCACAAAAAATTGTACCTGAACTAGTAAAATCCAAATAAAATCAGTTCAGTTTGTAATGTGTCAGTGTTGTTTTCTTAGTTGTGACAATTGTCCTGTGGTTACATCTGATGCTGCGGACATCAGGAGTTCTGGGGGAGGAGGACAGGACTTCTCTGGGAGTGAACCTGGAGCTCAGATCCACTCGGAAGCTGCAGAGAGAGTCCTTAGAGCCAGTGAGATGTCCAGCGGGAGGCTGGGAGTAGTATAGATGCCTGCCCCTCACCTGCCTTGCTGGGGTTTCCTGCTTTGCAGTCAGATCCACAGGGGTGAGGAGCACTGACGTCCTCCCTCATTTTTTGACAGTGGCCTCGTTGCTGAAAGGAAGAAAAGGCGTTTACACGGAGAATGAGAGGCGGATGGGGGCCGTGATCAAGACTCGCTTTTTCAAGATAATGCTGGTTTTCGTTGCTTGGTAACTTTTCTTCTTTGTCCTCATTGGCCAGTGGTAGGGGATAGGGCACCAGCTTGCCTGCTCTGCCTTTCCAAGGGTGACCTGGAAGTTCCAGAGTGAAAGTGCAGGAAGGGACGCCTTTGAGACCTTGCAGTTCTAACTGGTCTTCAGCTCACTTTTTAGCCCACGCTGGCCTTGAACTCACAGTGATCTTCCTGCTTCAGCCTCCATGTGTTGAGAATACAGTTGTACGCCACCACAAGCAGCATGGTTCTTTTTTGTTGTTGCTGTTGTTGTTCTTTTTTTGAGACAAGGTTGTAGCTCAGGCTGGTTTGAACTCAATGTATAGCCCAGGCTGGCCCAAAACTCACAGCAGTCTCCCTGCCTCAACAACCTGAGTGCTGGGATGACAGGTGTGCACCACCACACCCAGTTTAGAAAAAGAGATGCTAAATTTACTCAGACTGTCTCTAAGCCTTGACAATAAGTCCTGAGTTTAGTTTTGAAATATCTCAACCATACACCTGCAGTGTCAAGACCCATCACTGGGCTAACCAAAATAAGGGAGTCGGTCGTGTTTTTCAAAGGCACTCATGTACCCTGGGCACCATCATTCATTCCTACCCATAGCTTTGCCATCAAAGGAGGGGAAGGAACCATATGAGCAGTTTTTCTCTCCTCACCTTGTCTGGCTTGGTTTCTGCCCAGTGGCTCAGGTGGGCTCTTTGTACATAGGCTGTGGACACCACAGGATCTGGTAGCCCTTTGGGTGCTGCTGTACCCAGGTGAGAGGAGACCTGTCCCAACCCTCTCCTGGGAGAGACAGAAGTCCATGCCCTCTGCCGTCTTCACTGCCTACCTTAGAGGTGAGCATCACAGTTCCAATAGAAATGGCAGATGAGAATTTGGTGTCTGAAAACCTTAGGTCCCCTGAGGAGAGAATTCCAGGTGTCCAAGGCCATGCTGGTCCCTTCCCCGTGAGGTGCTTTTGAGCATCTGCATGGGCGGATTTGTTGATCCTTGCATCAGACCAAAGGCCCACATGGTCAGGTCTCCCCTGAGAGCTGGTGCTTCAGACTGTGGACCAATTACTCCCTGACTCCTAGCATGGAAGGGAGATTTCATTGTATGCTCTCTTCACCACTGGCCTGTTTTCTCTTACAGTTGGTTGCCCAATATCCTCAATGAAAGCCTTTTATTCTACCTTGAGATGCAACCAGATATCGATAGAGAGTCTCTGAGAGGTGTCAGAAACGCAGCCAAGACCACATGGTTTATTATGGTAGGCAACCATTTTTGTTCTTGTTTTAGTACCAGGAATCGAACTCATGACCTTACGCTTGCCAGGCAAGCACTCTGCCACTGAGCTGTGTCCCCTGCCGTGGTAGCCCACTCTTGCTTAAATCTCTTTCTTTTCCCATTCCTCCTCTTCTCTTCTGTCTTTTTGTATTGCCAGGAGGAATCCAACACTTCACCGATGTTTGCCAAGAGCTCTACCACTGAGCTACCCCCTCAGTCCCTTTTTTTTTTTTTTTGTCTTTTTCCTTTTTATCGGTACCAGGGATTGAACTCACGACTGCCTGCTTACAAGGCAGGTGCTTATGCCGCTGAGCTAAATCCCCAGCCCCAAGTCCCTTTTTACTTTTTATCTTGAGACAAGGTTGTCCAGGTGAGATTTAGGTTTTCAGTTCTCTCCTCCGCCTCCCAAGTTTTGGGGATTATAAGTGTGTAGCACCTCACCCAGCTCAGAGGATTTATCTTGCAAGGGTCTTTCAGACCATGAAAAAGGCATAGGGATAAAGATAAATGGCAATCCACAGAAAAAGAATACTCCAAAAAAAAAAAAAAAAGAGGAGGATGGTTAAGTAAATTATAGTCTCTGATATTTTTCGGTGTGGTGGTGCTAGGGATAGAACCCAGGACCTTGTACATGCTAAGTAAGTGCATCCCCAGTTCTGGCTCTTGAAGGAATGTTACCCAGAAGTTAAAAATGACAAAGATGAGCTCCATTGTTAAATAGAAAAAGTGGCATGCTAAGGATTTAGCTCAATGGCATAAGCGCCTGCCTTGCAAGCACAAGCTTGTGAGTTAGATCCCTGGTACCAAAAAAAAAAAAAAAAAAGAAAGAAAAAGTCACATAAATTTATATTATTAATACGTAATGTAGTATTGGGTGGAAATCTGTGAAACTGTAATAGGGGGACATCCTTCAATGTCCTATTCCATCACAGCAATCATAGGAGCTGCTGGTAGAAAGGTATACTCTGGGCCATGCAGACTTAGCATGATGTTGTTTCCAACTTTGAGAAAGTGGGATTTGTAAAGTGTATCACTCAGCTTTCCCATTGCTGGACAGAATAGCTGATGCCTGAAGCTCAAAGGAGAAGAGGTTTAACTTGGCTCATGGTCTTCAGGGATTCAGTCCATGGCCAGCCAGCTCTAAGGCAGGAGCATCATGGTGGAAAGGTGAGGTGGACCAAAGCTGCTCAGCTCTTGGAGGCCAGGTAGCAGGGCAGGGGAACAACAACACCAGAGCAGGGGTCAGGGACCAGACAGATTCCAAGCTCACATGTTGGTGACCCACTGGACACACCCAGAAGCACATCCCCACTATAGTGTCCTAGGCAGTCTCAAGCCTATCAGGTTGACAAGGTAGCCAAATTGTCTCCCCCACCCTGGCCTGTGGGTCTCGGTGCTTTGGTTTGGAGCCCTGCATGGTTCCTTGGTGAGCTTTACTGCTTGTCACACACTGGTGCCAGATGGCAGGCAGAGAAGGCGTGACTGGCCCTTTGTCCTTGAAGCTTGCTTTCCTCTCCCCCATTTTCCTTTCCCTCACCCTCACCCTCACCACCAGTCTCCTCTCTGTGGCCAGCACCCTCCAGCTTTCTTCCTCTCTGTTCCCTCCCCTGCCTCTTGCCCCTCTGCATCCCTTCCCTCTGTCCACCACCTCTATTTCCAGACCCCCTTGAATGGACAGCACCACTGCAACCCACCCTCAACCACCTCAAACCAACCAGGCCAGCAGCCTGTCCAAAGGAGGCCGGCCCCGGGCCCTCTGGAGCAGCTCTCCTGACTGCAACATGTCTCTGTGCCTTCCTTCCTCCCAGGGGATACTGAACCCGGCGCAAGGATTTCTCTTGTCCCTGGCCTTCTACGGCTGGACAGGATGCAGCCTGTACTTTCAGTCTCCCAAGATGCTGATCCAGTGGGAATCCATGACGACCTCAGCTGCTGAGGGCGCCTGCCAGCTCCCCGAGGGCTCCTGTGTGCCTGGTGAGAAGCCGGCTTCCGGGAAGGTAGCGCGTGTCAGGGGACACACTTCGGACGAGGCCCTGAGCATGCTGTCTGAGGGTAATTGTCCAGTGCTCCCTGGGAAATCCTGTGTGTGTGTATGTATGTGTGTTATCAGAATTTAACACTGAACCTAGGGCCTTTGCACCAAGCTGTATCCCAAGAAGTTTTCTGTTTTATTTTTTGAGACAGGGTCTCATTGTGCAATTCAAGCTGGCCTTGAACTCACTTCATAGCCTAGGCTGGTCTCAAACTCTCAACACTCCTTCTGCCTCAGCCTCCCAAGTGCTGGTATTACAGGTGTGCACCATCATACCTGGCTCCCTTTTCTGTTTTTTGAGACAGGATCTGGCTGGGTTTGCACTCGCAAACTTGAGATCGTCCTGCCTCAGTCTCTTGGGCCTGTGTTTTCATGCCCAGCTCCTGAGAGGTCTTTTAGTAAAAAGGTACAAATAGGGGGTTTTACATGTCATCTGTCCCTCCCCTTTTAATACTTTTTTTTTTTTTTATGGGTACCAGGGATCTAACTCACAACCTTGAGCTTGCAAGGCAGGCACTTATGCCTCTGAGCTAAATCCCCAGCCTTTACCCTTTTAATACTTTAATGGCACCTTTGCTTAGTTATTCAGCACAGCAGCCTGTGTTCAGTGTAACAGGTTCCCCGTTTGACTGGATGGGATGTGGAGTGTGTGACAAGTTGTCACTGTAGCCTCTGATACATTTGCTGTTAGGCCAGGGCTGCTCGCACCTGATTTCCTTAGGTTACAGATGCAGTGACTCTCTCCACCTGGGCTGGTGCAGGGAAAATGGGGAAGCGATGCACTGATGCTGCCTGCTATAACCTGTCCTGGGCCCAAAGCACTGTGCTATGCAGACAGTGCTATTCAGTCTGCAGAATCTTAATGTGGGTTTCAGGCACATGTGTCTCAGTTCCACTGCAGAATTTATGTGGAAGTCCGAGATAAAGATTCTGTATCCTCAGATGTGTTGTCCGGCAGATACTAATCCGCCTACCGTTCACTCGCCCGGGTGTGCTCATCTGATTGTGGGGTCAGAAACAATGTTCCCCCACTGTGTTGGTGAAGGGAGCAACTGTCCTGAGACAGCCACATGTCACTACAGCTGGGCGAGATGGTGGACACCTGTAATCCCAGCTGTGTGGGAGGCTGGAGCAGGAGGATTACAAGTTTATGGCTAGCCTGGCAACAGTCCTCTCCTCAAAAAAAAAACAAAACAAAACAAAACAAACAAAAAACCCAAATAGTTTTCTTGACAGAGTACAATCACATTAAAACAGAAAAAATTAGTTGTTCCAGTTGGTAGATTATAACTTTCATCTCAAGAGTTTGACTTCAGAGTCTTAAATTGACTGAAGTATCCTTATAGTTCCAATTGATTACAAAATTTATGTTTCATAGAATTCAGCTTGCAGCTCATGAAGCGAATCTTTGCTGGCATACTCTTCTGTCTCAGAGTTCCTTGGAAAGTTTGTTTTAGCAAGAACTTATCTTTGGGTGAAGGAAAAAGCTCTGAACACCCAGATTTTCCACTGAACTAATTTGTGATGTACAAGCTGATTCTCCCCTTTGATAGCACTGGCTCCATGGCAGCCCTCTGGATGTCTCATCAGGAGTGAAAGAGACTCAAGAATGTTTGAAAACTGGGGCTAGGCATGCTGCTTCATGCCGGCCATCCGCTGGATGATGGGGTACGGATGAACCAAGGGTGCTGATAACCTTGCCACCGGCTGGCTGGTTCATCATCTGTAGCACATCAGCATTGGGACTGGGTGGTTCTTGTCCTGCTTCTCATGGTGGGACCTTCAGTAGCTTCCTTGGCTCAGCTCCCTCACTGCCCCAGCTCTAACAGCTAAAAGTATTTTTAGATACTGACAGGTATCGCCAGGAGGGGAAGGAGGCCCCCCGAGTGGAAGCCGTGTCTCACAGTAACTAGGCTTTCCAAAAGCACGAACTTCACAGTTCACTTTCTCCAGCGCATCTGTGCTAAATCACGTGCACACAGAGGATGGACCAAAGAAGGTGGACAGAGTATTTTGGTTGGTACCAAAATAATGTGATTTGGAGGAGGGAAAATTTTGCAGAAAGGTGTCTGAAAGTGATTAGAGTAGGTAGATTTTCTTTTTCACTCTGACTGCTCACAGCCATCTTCAGGTGACATTTTGGTTTATGGGGATGGTAGAGATGGTGATCAATCAGTAGATTGATTTCCAGGAGATGATATGGTCTGGTCGCAACTGGGGAGTCTTAGAAGCTATTCTGACCAAGCTGCAGATAAAGAGAAACCATGTGCTTAGCAACCTTCTTTCTTTCCTTACTTTTTTCCTTCCTTTCTTCCTCCCTCCTTCCTTCCTTCCTTCCTTTCTTCCTTCCTTCCTTCCTTCCTTCCTTCCTTCCTTCCTTCCTCCCTCCCTCCCTCCCCCCTTCCCTTCCCTTCCCTTCCCTTCCCTTCCCTCCCCTCCCCTCCCCTCCCCTCCCCTCCCCTCCCCTCCGTTCGCTGTTCGTCCCTCCCTCTCTCCAGGACTACAGGTGGAACCTGGAGCCTCACACAGGCTGGGCAAGTGGTCACCACCTGGGGCACCCTGGCGCCTGGGCTTTACTATCAACTCTTGTCAGGGAGAGAGGACCTACCCTCCGGAACTGCTGTTAGCATGCACATGCAGTTCCCAAGGCCCCTAGAGGAACGAGCCAGAAAACGTCATCTGGGATTACTTGGCTCCTTTGTACTCGCCTCTTGGTAGTTTCCAGTGGCCGGACCAATCTTGGACAGATTGATTACAAATAACGTGACAAATAACAGTAGCCAATGAATCAGATCTGCCCAGTATCACACACCACCATCACCACAGACAAGCCGCATCAGTCAGGCCGTCTGCACTTTTGTTTGTTTGTGTTCAGAGGCTTTTTCAGCTTTCATTGTTCTACCCATGCTTGCAGTACACAGTGGTGACACTCCTTGTGGGCCGTTGGTCCATGTGCATAGCACATTGTAATTCTTTTCCATCTCCTCCCTGCAGCCCTGTCTCCATCTCTTGGTCTTCTTTCCTTTTGCAGAAAGATCTACCTCCCTCTTTCCTGTCATTTACCATTTAGTGTGCTCTGTATTTATATGTTAGATTTCTCATATAAGAGAAACCATGAGGTAATGTGTGTCTGATTTCTTCCTCTTAACATAACGATCTCAGGGCGCATCCACTTTCCTATGCATCCTTCCTTATTTTTACCCTTCCCAGGAAGCTGTTGCCTGGTTTACCTCAAAGGATGGGTATTTTCAGTCTTGAGAAAAAGTGAACAGAGATCCAAAATCAAAATAAACCGAGAGGGCTGGGGATACAGCTCAGCAGCACAGTGCCTGCCTGGCAAGCACAGGGTTCTGTGATGGATTCCTGGTATGGGGGTGGGGAGGGAAAGCCCCCCAAATAGGGAAGCCATGCATATAGATCCTCTCTTTTACCTCCTCCTTAATTTTTGTTAAAATTTTTAGATTCTTTCTTTCTTTTTACGTTTCATAGTGCTGGGGAGGGAACACAGAGACTCACACATGCTAGGCAAGTGCTCAGCACCAAGCTGCACCCTCAGTGCCGCCTCCTCCTCCTTCCTTCTCCTTCCTCCTCCTCCCCGTCCTCCTTCCTCCCCCTTCTCCTCCTCCTCTTCACTGAAAACACTGGCAGGGGTTGCTACCATGTAATAATTCCCAGAAATACTGGCATGAATGAATGAATGCCTTCAAAATGCATTTGATTACTAACGACTGAAAGAGCAGAGAGCTCTAACTGTCCACAGAGAGAGGAAAACACCCTCGTGGAGCTTCCAGCCATACCACTTGGGTAATTTCCACATCGAAAGATTTTCAAGGGGTTATCTCTTGTCTGCACCCAAGCATCTCTATCTCAGGTTCTCTGCAGTCACTAAGTGCATGCTAGGCACTGCCGTTTGAACTGTGGGAGAGCTCAGAAGTACATTCCTCCTTCCCACCATCCTCTGTCCTGGCCACCACTTCTGTGTTTCCACCACTTTCTCTCACCTACATGATTCTGTATTTCTTGTGCAAATCCTCTTCCCCGCAATTCTCTGTTCTCTCCCACAGTTCCCTATCTCTGCCACCACCCTCTTTCCACAATTTCCTGTGTTGCTGCTGTTATGGCCGTGTATGAATGTCCCCTGAAGCCTCATGCTGTCATAGGTGGGGTTTTTCAGAGATGGCTGAGTCTGGAGCGCGTGGTAGATTTTTGGTACAATGCTGGGATTAAAGGTGCTAGGATTAAGGGTGGGTGATGCCTGAATCCACTGAGTGGGTGGCAATGCCCTAATCCCAGTATCCTGGATACAATACAAGGGACAGAAAGAGTATCATCTTGCGCCTTATTGCTTTGCTACCTTCTGTCTGCCACGAACTGTTTGTTTTCTGCAATGCCATCCTGCCTTGGAGCCAGGTGATTATGGCCTGAAACCTCTACAAATGGCGAGCTAACTAAATCTTTCCTCCTTTAACTTTGGGTGTCAGGTATTTTGTGTCAGCAACAAGAAAAGTAAGACACCGAGGTAGGAGGACCACAGATTCCAGCCCAGTCCAGGGAACTCAGTGATTTAGCAAGACCCTGGCTGAAGGAGAAAGGAGGGGCGGAGTGGGGATATTGGCCTGCGTGAAGGCCCTGGGTTCCATCCCCAGCAATGAAAAACAGAACACACATGTGCACACAAGCAAAAAAATCCCTCTGGCCTGAAGGCCTCTCTAAGTCTGTCTCTCTATCAGGAAGGATGCCTTCTGCTGGGTCACTCCTTGAATCAGACCTGCAGGTCCAGGAAGGTTCTTGGTCCACTTTATAAGAACAAAGCTGGAAGATTAAATGGGTATCATATCGTCATCTCTGTGTGCTTGAGTTTTCTTTTTTTGGTCCCAGGGATCAAACTCATGACCTCACAATTGCCAAGCAGGAGCTTATACTGCTGAGTTGTATCCCTGGCCTGTGCTTGAGTTTTAAAGTAATGTCCTGCAGTTGGCTTGTTAATGTATGGAATCAAAAATCTTTCCAGAGTTAAATGAATACCTGGGGCGCTTCTTTTCTTTCGTTCTTTCTTTCGTTCATTTATTCATCATTTTGAGACAGGGTTTTGCTATGCGGTTCAGGCTGGCCAGTGGCCATGGCCCTTACCCCTCCCCTCCCTTTTCCTTCTCCTCCCCTCCCCTCCCCTTTCCCCTTCCCTTCTCCTTTCCTCTTCCCCTCACCTTTCTCTTCCTCTCCCTCCCCCCACCTTTCCTTCTCTCACAGTTGAAGAGGTGCCCTGTTGGTTCACTCAAATGCCAGTAGCAAGAAGTGGGGGAGACTGGACAGAACAAAACCCAGGGCCTCAGGGTCTTGGTGGGGCTCACCCAACAGAGCACCTTTCAGTGCAGTTGGGTCGTGCACGGTGTTTACTGGTGTTTTGGTTCTAGGTAGGGCTCAGGGTTTTAGAGGCAGCTGAGAAATGAAGGCACAGGCAGCATCTAAATCTCAGGTCTGCATGGAGCTGGGAGGGTCCCAAGAACCTTCCTGGACCTGCAGGTCTGATTCAAGGAGTGACCCAGCAGAGGGCATCCTTCCTGATAGATAGACAGACTTAGAGAGGCCTTCAGGCCAGAAGAGAAACTCCATGGAAACCCAGGCCCCAGGCCCTCTCCTTCAGGACTGAAGGGGCTGACTTTGCCTCCTTTGCTGTCCTCCATGGAGCCCCAAGGGACATGGAGCCCTTCAGGGGCTCTAGAGCATGTCCTGAGGTGTGAGGTCATGCAGCAGTGTCCTTAGCCCAGACCTTGATCAGCGGCCACCACATGGTCCCCAGAGATGCACCCTGGAGCCGCAGGGAGCCCTCATGAGTCCTCGGAACTGTGGGTGACCCTGTGAGAACAGAGTCTCTTTGAAGTGCCACCAACCTCCAACAGGAATGTTCTCTGGAACTGGAAATGTCCCCTAGGAGTGTTCCTGGCTGGTGCCTGGTGGCTCTGGCAGGAAAGCTTTCTGCAGTCTCCTCATGACTGACCCAGCTCTGATGGGACCTGGCCTGGGGTCCCGTTACCCCTTTCTTGGCCCCTGGGTCAGATTCTCAGGAAGGCCTCCCAGGGGAGGGCTGGTGTGGGTCCCAGAAGGAGCCTCGGCATCCGCCTGGCTTCTCTGACCACTGCCTGTCACTTCCTGTCCATCGTACTGGCAGGCTTCCACAGCACCCTGAGGTGCACTCCTGTGACACTGAGGCACTTGCCTGTTTATCCAGTGATAAAGAAAATTGGCTGGGGACAGGTGGGTGCGTGGTTTCAGCATAGTGACCCTGAAGTTTCTCTAAAGATGAGGTGATGCATGAAGTATAGGAGTGAGCCATGGGAAAATCAAGAGGAGAGCCCTTCAGGTGGAATAGAGACATGCAAAGGCCCTGGGGCAGGATTAGGCTTGGAGAGGGGTAGTGTGCCTAGTGGCTGTGATCAAGGAGGGAGGGACACAGGAGACTGTGATGGTCAGTGGAGAGATCCTTGGAAGTCACTGAAAAGGTTCTTTGTGTCTCCGCCTGTGTTCTCCGCACATGATCTACAGGCTGGCGTACCACAGGTGCTCCTGGGTGTTTGTGGGATGTAAGGGCATTTCTGTTGGACCAGGGACATAGCTCAGAGGCACAGCACCTGGGGGGGGGGCAAGTGCAAAGTCTGAGTGTGATTCCTGGTACCAAAAAAAGGAAAGCATTTCTGCCATTTGTCACAAAGGAGCTCACTGCTGCAAAGGGAAGGAGTGCCTGAATCATCCTCCAAGGTTTCTGTTTTGACTGAGCAGGGTGTTTTCCTTGATTTTGCCAACTGTGTCTGTGAGCCTCTGCTTTGGAAGGAGGGCTGGGTAAAGGGGAAACTGATTACCAGGCTTGTCCCCAGGCCTGGGAAATGCATGTTCTGTGGAGAAGAGAAACAACACGTCCTCCATCACTCTGTCATTGCAGCCAGTGTCCCACTTGGCATCCGCAACAGGGAAGCTCTCATCAGTAAACACCTCCCAGAGCCATCGCTGTTTTCCAGCCCTTGGGGCCTTTTGGCCCCCACGCTTCCCACAGCTGGAGCCAGGGGCTGAAACCCAGCAGCCTTGTCCCTGTAGCCAGTAGTCACCGGAGCACTCTGCCCTGGGTCAGACCACTCATGTCCCAGGGCTCCGTGACCTCCAGGGTCAGCTGTCATGGCTTCCCAGCAACATCGTGACTGTCCACCCTAGGCCAGCCTGGGATCTCTCCCCACCTTGGGAAGGGTTTAATGAGAACTAGCTTAGAGCCTACTAGCGATGACACTGAGTTTTAGTCTAGGAGAATCTCAGTGTGTACCTGAAAATCGAGAGCATTTTCTTGTTTCATTTTGTTTTCTGAGCCAGTATCTTGCTGTGTAGTTCAGGCTGGCCTTGAACTTGCAGTGATCCTCCTGCCTCGGCCTCCCTAGTGCTGGGATTCCAGGTGTGCACCACCAAACCCAGGGAGAGTGTGTCCTGGTTTGGCCAGAGATCCCATTACTTCTGTCTCTTCCCCTGCAGGTTCTGATGCCAGCACCATTGAAATCCACACTGCAAGTGTGTCCCGCAGCGGAAATGCCTTGGACGCTGTCCCCCAAGTCCAGGGAGACCTGTGAGTGGGTGTGACGTGCTCCAGACTCATTGTCCTCAGACTCTGGTCTCCGTCTTTAGTGTCCTTGGCTTTCCATCCCCTAGTGCTCCTATCACCACAGTCCAGCTTCCCCTTACAGTGGCGGCAATGAGAATCTCTTCTCCCCACCTCAACTTGAGACTAGGTGTAACGTTTAGTGGATAAGGAGTTAAATAAAGTCATCGTGATTGCTTTGTGCTGACGGTGTCTGTCTCAGTGGAACTCTGTGTGGCGGTGAGGGGGTGGTGGGGTAGTGGTGGAGCTGAACCTCTTGCACCCAGCAGGGGGCACCATTTGGCTTCCAGGTGCAGCCTTGCATCTTGTGTCTGCACTATCCTAGGAGCTGCCCTGGCTTGCATCCTTGGTGATATCTCCACTGCTAATTCACTGAGCTCATCGGTCTCTGCGTACACACTCCCACTTATAGCTTTTCTTTGTCTTCTTTTGTTTTCAGCGTGCATTAGGGCTACAGGCCATCCAGCGGTGTGTGCAGAAAAATGAGGTGCAGTTCCACCTTGTGACCCCTCCCTCCCTTTCTAGGTTAGGACTTTCTTTGATTCCTGAAAAGCTTTCTGGGACCCTCTAGCTTGTCCTTTGGAGTCACAAAGCTGCAGGTGGACTCGGCATACTTTGCTACGGGCTGTCCCAGGGCCCTTAGTGGGAGATGCCACCTCTTCCTAAGGTGGAACAGACTCCAGGCAGTTGGGTCAGAGGCAGCAGGGAGATGGGAAAGTTTGATGTCCAAGGAGACAACCAAACTGTTCAGGCAGGGGAGCCTGGGGATGCATGCATGCTACATCCTCAGCCCTTAAATTTTTGAGACAGGGTCTCACTAAATTGCTTAGGCTAGACTCAAACCTATAACCTTCCTGCCTCATTCTCCCCCATATCGGGATTACAGGTGTGCACCACCACAGGTGGCTGGCAACTGCGTTCCTAAGCATGGTAGCAGTGTTTTTTCTGCCCCTGGCCTCAGAGGCTTCTCCTTAGAAGGATTCATTCTGGAAGCACACAAGTGAACTGTTGGCCTTGCCAGCTTCCCTTGCAGCCAGAGACAGGCAGAGTATTGGACCAAGCCGGTCAGCCACAACATCCAAGCTAGAGTCACAAACTGTTGCTTAAGGGACTGGGCTGTATTCACCTGCATAGAGAGTGCTGGCAGCAGACAGGTCTGCTCTGGGGGTGGCATGGGGTGGGCAGCCCTGCCTGCCTGTGGTCTTCAAGAACTGTCCCTGTAGTTATCTTGGCTGTTTCTGTTGGCATGGGCTCCAGCAAGCTTCTCTAGTCTCAGAGCTGCCTGATGTCCTACACTCGTAACTGCTGCCACTGGCAAATCATGTTCTTCAGCTTGCAGTAAGAACCCTGATCTGATTGTGTCGTGTTAAAACCAATGCCGGGTTGGGGATCAGCTGCCTCTTGTCTGCGTAGTTTTGATTGGCCATCTATCAGTGTGTTTATTCACTACTATAGGAAACTTCTTAGTATCTGATTTTTCCCCTCAATTTCACAGAAAGTTATCACAATCACCTACAATTGTGTGTTACAATAGGATGCATCTCAGCCATTTTCTTGTGGAGTATATGACTTTTTGCTTGAGGATAACTCCATGACTAACCAAAGGTTTTTTTGTTTGTTTGTTTGAGACAGAGTCTCTCTAATGTATTCATGTGGCCTTGAACTCACTGTGTAGTCCAGGCTGGCCTCAAACTCCTGGTGAATCCTCCTGCCTCAGCCTCCTGAATGCTGGGATGACAAGTGTGCACCACCATGCCTGGTTGAAATTTACATTTTAGCACATCGGCCCTACAAATACCAATCTCCATGTGGTCCCAGCTGGTCCCAGCTGACCACATTCTCCAATGAAACTGTGTTCTGGTCTTGCTTACCTTGCTGTGGATGATACAGTCCCCAGAGGGGACATATCTGTCCAGTCAGCTCTGGAGTCTCCCCAGGGCATAAGTCTACGCCCTCACTGCTTCCTGACCCCACCCATTCCCTAAAGTGGCTTTCATCCTTTCATCCATAGGAGCTGGTTGCTCCTAATTGATGGACCGCATGCTAGGTGAACACAGAACTGTATCAGACAGACAGGTACAGAGACTGGAGCCATAAGCCACTTTCACAGGGGACAGAAATCTCTAAAACGTTGTTACCTGCATAGTGGGTGTGGCTGCCAGATCCAAGTCACATCCCTGCTTCTCTGTCCCCATTTCCTAAGCACACTGCCATGCTTCTGCTGCCAGCTGACCTCCTGCATGAGGGTCCGCCCAGAGGCTTGCAATGGCTTCTGAAGGAGGCTTGAGTGCTCAAAACTTCACGCCAAATTTGCCATCTGGGAACATGCGTAGTCACCTAAGTGTTGTGTGTGTGGGATGTTAGATAAAGAAAACCCCAAGCAAGCAGGCCCAGACCACACTAGGAACAGTTTTCTCTTATTATACACTGACAACTTCTCACATGTAAATCTGAAGTCACCTGTTCAAGACCACATGTAACCCTCGAGTGTCCTGGGTGCACTGTTTGTCAGCGGGGTCGCTTTCTCCTGTGCATGATTTCCATTTCCTCCACCACAGCCCTTGATGAGCACAGCCTGTTTTCTCCTCCTTTGCCTGCTTCCTGTTCATCTTTCTCATACAGTGCAGGTATGCAGCAGGCCAGCCACCTAGGTTTACACAAGCGCAGTGCTGCTCACGTGACCATGCTGGCTATCGGAGCACTTCTCAGGGTGTTTCTGTCATTATGCAACTCCAGAGCATGTTTGGACCCCAGTCCAGTTCTTTCCTAGTGCAAGAACAGTAGGCTCAGAGGGTACACACCAAGACTTCTTGGTAAAGCCTCCCAGCAAGCATGAAGGCCCTGGCTGGCCTACCTGTCCCTTCTTGATCTGCATTAGCGCATGCAGGCAAACAGTATGCACCCATGTATCAACACAGTGGAAGTGGAAATGCAGTCTGTCGGGCACAGAGCAGATGTATAGAAATGTTCATGTTTGCACTGTGCACAATTCAGTGTCCAGGTCATGTTCCGTGAAGAACTTAGGTTCTTCAGATTACCCGGGGCTAATGGTCAAACTCCACCTCTCAGCAAATCAACCTGCTAACACTCGAAAATGCATCTGTTTTGCTTTTTAAAAAATGCAATAAAACAACCATAAGGGGCTACACCAAGACACAGGCTCCCTTTGGGTAATGACCTAGAATACCTAGGGGGGCTGCGGTGAGAATCTGGGTGGATTCGACCTGACATGACTGCCACCATCTTGGGTCATAACCATCACAACTGCTGCAGAGTAACCATGGTTGGTTTGCCTGGTGCAGGTTCCCTCAAAAACACAAGACAGAACCATCAGAATGAAGCTCTAAGGGGACTCTGGCTACAGGAATGTGCCTGACTCTTTGATGTTAGCATGAGATAAACCAGGTACATTCCAGCTAGGATGATGTCATTGTTCTCGTCTGTTCATAGTCCCTGTTTATAATCCTAACGGCCCTGTCATGGTTCAGGGCTCCCCATCTATGGTAAGTCCCTGTGCAACCCTAGATCTGTCTTTCTTCTCTGGACTCATGGGACTGGGGCCCATCCTCATGTGACTGTGTCACTCCATGGAATCTACTCCCCTTTTCCCTGTTTAACAGACCTATCTTGTGTGGAGTCACTCAGGTTATTTTGAGAAAATGCAGAATTCTGCCTTCATTCACCAGTGTTGATATGGGCCCAGGAATTAGAGGAAGATGAAAAAATAAAAAACACAGCCACCAAGTTCTCTAATATCAAAATAGAGCAATTTATTCAAGACACTGAATATGATCTGTTGATTCTCTCTGGAAATAAAATGAGCTACGACACACAAGGTGATTTTTTTTCTCTCCAAGAGTGTGAGGGATGAGTGGGGGTTAGGGGTACAGAACAAAACTGGGGTGGGGGGGGTCAATGCTGTTGAACAGAATCTGGAAAATGCTGACAGAGAACCACGTCTGGCTGTATGTCTGACACAGACAATAAAAACCACAGAAGCCAGAATTCAAAACTTCAGTGAGTGGTGGAAGAAACATTTTTGTATCTCACAAGAAACACAAAGAAAACAAAATAAAGGGGAAACGAGAGGTTAAAAAAGAGAAAAACAACAAGGAACGAAGCAGATCCTCACATCGGACAAAGTGCACTTGGCTAGTCTCCGTGATCTATGTTTGAGAAAGACAGAACAGGTCATGTTCTATAGCGTCGGTGTTGTCAGGGTAGAAGAGCCAACCCCATCCCGTGCCCATGGCGCTCTCGGTCCCTGAGGGACAGCTCCCTTTCCCAGGCAGGTTGGGCATGGCTCGTGGTCACTTGTGTCTGCTTGCAAGGTTACATTTTTTGGCCACCGAGACTGAAGCATCCCTCAGAGCAATAGACGAGGTTGGGCAACGTGACACATGGCCCTTGGCTGCAAAGCTGAGTGTGCTGGCTCCAGGGGCCAGGTGATTGGAGGTGCCAAGAGTGGGACACACTCCCGGAGTGTGAGCAGCAGTGTTCTCCGGCTGGGTCTGCCGTCCTTTGACCCATGCTCTGTTGTGCTGATGGACAGCAGGGGATGTGGTGGCCCGCTTTGTGCAAGAAGAGATGATGAGGTGGTGGCTTTGCTCCCCCGGGTGTGAGACTCTGGTCCTGGAATCTAGGCCCAGATTGGCTAGTGAACCCCTTACACACCATGCCCATCACTACCCACGGTGGATTACACAAGTCGTATCAGGACAATGGGCTGAAACTGGACAGCTAATGCTTGGCAGAGAGGAATGCATATTTATTTGGGGTGCACTAAAGATGGTGCTTGTCTGAACCCCCAACAGCCTGCATCCTGAACTGATGCATCCTGGGAGTGGGTACACCTGTTACACTCAAAAAGGGGACCCATCACTTCACAGCACTTCGGCTTTGTTGGCTGAGTGTTCAGGTAACAGCACCCGCACACACTACTCCACTAGAAGACATGGCTCTTTCCGGTCTGCTTGTGCTGCTGTGGTGGTCACCGCCCAGTCCCCGAGGCCACTTGTGTGGCTAGCCCCATACATCCCAAGTGGGATGAAGCCCTCGCCCATTTCCAGCTCTGTGGATGGACACTACTCTCTGAGTAACACCCCGCCTCGGCTGAAGAGGGCAGCGCAAAGCTGTGTTTAATCTTTAAAAAACAGTAAAAAGATTCATTGTTTAAAAAAAAAATCTCTCTCATCTCCAAAGACCGAAAGAAACAAGCCAGTGGAAGGGGTGGGCGACACTGTACCTGTGGACTAATTTATCATCAGGGCCGAATGTCTTCCTCGGGGCTGAATGTCTTCCTCGGGTGTTGCTGCTTTGTCACTGGACAGTGACTGTCCGGAGCCTTTAGGTCAGCCCTACAAGGGCCGGTTGGGCATGCTCTTGATGGTGGACCCGTGGGTCACTGCACTGCCGAGGAAGATGCGTGACAGGAAGGAGCGCACAGCTCCTGCGGCTGGCCTTGTCACCCAGCTGTCGGCCACCTTCCACACCACAGAGGGAAAGGGCAAGCTGCCTCCCACTGCCTGTATCTCCTTAAATGTCAATGTTTGTAAAACAGGAATCACACAAAGCTCTCTGTGTCTGATGGCCATTTTGGGATTTTAAAATTGTTTTAACATAAAAATATTATTTTTTTCCAAAAATACTCCAGGCTCTTTCTCTTATAAGTCATTTTTTTTCTCCTGTAAAAACTCCCCCTCCCCGCTTTCTTACATAAAGCACTTACTGAACGCCGAAAGTGCCCTTTGTGAACTCAGATGTGAAAGGACCATGAGAGAGGGACAGAGCAGGTGTGAGCGAAGGGCAGAGCGGGGGAGCTGTCCATCCATGGTTTTGTCACCAGGTCCACGTGGCCACATCCGCTGCGGGTGTCATGAAGGGCAAGACCACACCAGACAAAGGAAAACAGCATGGGGTGGGTGTGGGAGGGAAGAAACAACCAACTCAAAACAGTTTGCGTCTTAAGCCAAGGCCTGCGGATGACAGAGTTCCAGTGAATGGAAAAACCACTGAACAAAGAAGGTTCTAGAAAGTAGAAGGTGCTGGGATTACAAAGTTGCGCATCATTCACGGGTACAAACTGGTCTCCGAATACACCCTCTGCACACACCCTCCGTGAGAGTGACTGTAGTGTCCAAATTGACAGGGTGGGGGCACCACGAGAGGTGTTCTTTCCCCTTTTGGTTTCTCACAGCATTTCTCTTTTTCTTCTTTTGGCACAGCCTTTCCTGCATTCGTCGGCCATCAGAGCCTCAGGTGGATGGAAACCAAGCCGCTGGTGGCTTCATCCTTCCCCAGCAGGATGTCCTAAGTGGAGACCCTTTACCCACCGCTTGATATGACTGTGGGTATGCGTTTGGGTTTGCTTGGTTTTTAAACTTCTGGGTGAAGATTAGGAAAGAAGACGGATGCCTTTGGCCAGGGATGAGCTGATGTCAAAGCACACTCTCACGTGGGTCACACTCAGACGCTTTGGGAATTGAGAGTTGGAACAGTGCTACCGCCCATGAATTCGCTGCTGGTCCATTACAATTCTTTTTTTTTTTCCCCTCTATGATATTTTGTGTTTACTTCCGCAGGTCTAAAACACACACCTGGAAAGAAAGATGCCACACCTTGAGGAATACCCCAGGATGCCTTAAAATGAAGGCTGGCAGAACTGTGACCCTGGGACCACACCTGGACAGCCATGGATGCATTTATAAATAAAGTTTTACTGGGACAATCAAGAGGGCCAGGGAATCTCTAATAACAGGCCAGTGTCTGAGCATCTCACCCACCACATTCAAGCCAACAGCATGCAGGGGGAATCCAGGTCAGGAAAAATACCCAAACCACCCACTGGGGCAGAACAAGGCCCATGGGGCCCTGGGCTGAATAGATAAAATGCCTCCAGGTTTATCTGTGTGCTCTGCTGCAGTGTCTTCTGGAAGGGACAGTGAGAAGGCTAGTCTAGACATGGTACCATCCTGACACAGGTGTCCTTCCCATCCTCTGTACGGGCTGAGCACCTGCTGTGTACTGATGTCACTTGGGTACCAGCTGCTTATGTCTGTCAGTCCCCTGCCCCCGTCCCTGTCCCTGATAAACAAAGGCACCACTTACAGAGCCATCGGAAGCGCTGGCACCCACTTTGTCGCCTCGAGCGTTCCAGCACACTTCGAAGATGCCACCCGTGCCTCGGTAGCTGTGGACCAGACTTCCGCTCTGCCAAGCAAAGCAAAGCAACCGTCAAGTGTGGTGCCAGGAGGTCCTGAGAGCTGGGGCATGCCCTAGGCTGTCCTCCTTGTACCCTATATTTGACCAGGAAAACCTCCAAGCCCAGAGAAGTTGGAAGGGTTTCTGGTATGGTGGCCGTAGCTTGTGACTAGCCAACTCCAACTCTGCAGAGGACAGCTCCCCTCTGGTGATCTTCAGAACCTGTGCCTGGGGCCACGGCTGTGCTCAGCCAGGGACCCAGAGCACCAGGCAGCCTCAGACAGGCAGCCTGCCATACATATCCTTGGCTGATGGGAAACTCTGGCTCATGGGATCTCCACTGGCTCTTTCCTTGGAGTCCTAGAGTTCGAACCCACATGCCAGGCAAGCTGCTTCCTCACTGGTTTTGCTGAGACGTTCTTAGATTTGCATGGCCCTCTGAAATGCTTCTCTTGCCAGAGAGGCCCACGATGGCTAATTCACTCCAAGCCTGACTCTTCTCAGTCTCTGGAGAAAGGACAGCCGTGTGCTACTCAGGCATGTCATGCTGTCACCTGAAAGTCACACATATTCCTTCCTACCCAGACTGGCCCCACAGTGGTGCTGGTGGAGTTGGTGGGTCTGCCTGGACAGCTTAGATGAAGGGACACAACCCTTTCATGCCAGAGGGTGTTACACAATGGGGTCAGACTTTCCCCAGGGCACAAGGCAGGTTCCATGTCAGGGACTCAGACAAACCCAAGAGAAGGCCTTGCAGATAGCACTCAGCTGGGGATTTCCGCGCGCCTTGCCAGGCACATCTTCCCAGAGAATGCAACCACGGGCATGGAGAATTACCTGAGTATTCCAGATGTGCACGCACTTGTCAAAGGAGCCGCTGGCCAGGTACTTCCCATCAGGGCTGAACGCTACACTGTAGACAGGCTCCTGATGCTTGGTCAGTGTGTGGATGCAGACGCCTCGTTCCACGTCCCACAGCCGAACCGTAGAATCAAACGAAGCGCTGGGAAGGAGGCAGAGAAAACATACCGTGCATGGAAGCACTGAGGATCAAACTCACAACCTTGCGCTTGCTAAGCAGGTGCTCATGCTGCTGAGCTATATCCTCAGCCCTGCTTTTTAAATTTGCCTTGCCTTTACATTTCACAATAAACCTAGTGAGCTCCTTTTTCTCTGAAACAGAAACTCACACCCATGGAAAACAAAGCTACAGTCCTAAAACAAACAAAAAAAAATTGGTGCTGTTATTGGGGAATTGGGGAAATTGATACCCCTATTCACCTGTTTCCTCATTGTCTTCTGTTAGGAATGATAGATACTTTCCTGGAACACTTACGTTTTTTCATGCAATCTATAACCGATACCTATTTTTTTTTTTTTTTTTTTGATGCCAGGGATTGAACTCATGGCCTTGCACATGATATGCAGACACTTGTGTCGCTGAGCTAAATCCCCAGCCCCAATCCATACCTATTTTAGCAACCAAATACATGTGCCTACTTATAATCAGAAAAAACTCCCTGCAAACTGAACAGATATGCATTTAAGATTGTTTCCACCCAAGAGGAATGTATAATGTACAATCACAACCACATCTAAGATTACACTGCCGAGTGCTGCAAATGTGAGCTGTTCTTAAATTTAGGAGAATAGTATACGCATCACAAAGTTGTTACCTTTGGCACTGGAGGTCTCCTTTATACTTGGTGACAAAGGGATAATTTAGGCCCTTAAAGGGTGCCATGGGACACAAAAATACCTTCCTGGACCTCAAAAAATGATGACAGAATCTAGACTGTATCATTACAATTTAAGTGGATTTCAGACAATTACCTGAAACAGGAGAACTATGGCCTTTGGGTTTTCCTGGTTCTGCCACTCAGCTAATGCCTGAATTCCTCCCACCGCTTCCAGGACAACCATCCTTGCTGCCGCCCACCTGCTGCCTGCCTGTCACTTCTCCCACATTGCTCTTTTCTGAAACTACCCAGAATAACCCTCCTGACGCCTCCGGGTAACCCAATATCCCTCCCACATCTTGTCTTCTCCAGGTTACACAAACATCCTCATTCCACAGAGCCAAATCCCAATGACCCACAGCAGTTTCCAAACTGTCCTGTTCCATGGCTTTGGGCCTCAGAATTTTCTCATTAAAGTACCAAAGGCAGGCGCTAGGGATATAGTTCAGAGGCCCAGCACCTGCCTGGTAAGTACAAGGTTGTGAGTTTCCATTTCCAGTACCAAAAAAAAGTACCAAAGGTAGAGCTGGCTGGGAGTGGGGTTTATTGGTTCAGTACCTGCTTGGTATGAGCTCAAGCCTCAGCACTGCGAAAAGGAAGTAAAAGAAAACCAAGAGTTGAATTCTATATTCCTGGGGACCCAAGGAGCATCGAGATGCAGTGATTCCGATCCCTGAGCAAAGGTGATTGTGGTTTGGAAGGGCCACCACTGTCCCTCCCTAACAACCACTCTTTGCAGTTGTAGTGTGACTCACTGGCTGCCCTATCCTCCGCTGGTGTCTTAGCAGATTCACCATACAAAAGATCAGACTGGATCTGGCGGGAGCCAGGGAATCCTTGTCTGAATCCTCACTGCCAAAGGCTCTGAGCTGAGGCTCTGAGCTGAACCAAGCCCGAGGTCCCAGCTAACCTCTTCCTATTTCTCTGTCTTAACAAAAGGCGAAGGGCCCCAACCCTGGAGACAGAACACACCCCGACTACTGGCCTCCCAGTTAACACGTTTGCCTCGAATGGATCCAGCCATCTCTTTCTATCAGCTTATTCCACACCAGCCACCTGCAGATCAAAAACACCCAAGGTGGCTGGAATGCCGCCCAGTGGTGGAGCACTTGCCTAGCATGCACAAGGCCCTGGGTCTCATCCCAGTACCACAAAACAAGCGGGCAAAGCAAGCAAACAAAACCACCGCCATAAAAAAGAACTGACAAGAACTGTGTCTATACTGAACACACAGTTTGTCGTCAGTCCTGAGATGCAGTGTAACAACTACACTCATCAGCATTGTTCAGGTACGGCAGTCACCGGGAGAGGACTTGAAGGCTAAAGCGCACAGGTTCTAAGCACATGCTAGGCTGTTCAGCACTGGCTGTTGAGCTCCCTGGCTGGCTCTTGGGTCTTTGTCATCGCGGGTGGCTGTGGGAGCCAATCTTGGGAAGATCCAGGGATCACGTCATTTGCACACAGCTAGCCCCTCCCTGGGGTTGCACCACTCTGTGTAGTTTGGAAGGGTTTTAACCCGCTGCCAGTACCTTCCAGGAGCTTTCCTGCTCTTAGCTTATGAGCTGTCCTAGCCAGACTGCTAACTGGACAACAGGCAGCTGAGCTGAGGAACGGAGCCGGGGCCCCAGGCTGCCCTCCTGTTACCTCGCTAACATGATGTTGGCGTTTGGGTTGCTGGTGGCGGGCCCTGTGGGACTCCACTTGATGGTGTAGATCTCTTTGCTGTGGGCCTGAAGGTCATGCACACAGGTGTCCTGCTTCATACTCCAGATCTAGAGGAAAACATCGGGAATGAAAGGAGCAATGCTGTCCCCTGTGAGATGCTCAGAAACCTGCCCACGGGTGCCAAGCAGGCAAACAAGCTGCTGGCTGCCCAGGAAGGGACTTACTTTTAATGTCATGTCATCAGAGCAGGATGCTAGCAACATTCCGGAAGGATCCCATTTGATGGCATTGACTTCATTCTGCAAGAGAGCAAAGTAACGCCACGAGTCGCTATGGCAGCCATCGTCCACCAGGAGGCGCAAGAGCTCTGCCAGCGTTGCCAGCAGCTTCCAGGGTTTACCCGGGATAGCAAGGCACACAACACACAAGCCTGTATTTTTTCTTTTCCTCACTTTGCCTTTTCGCTTATATGAAAGTATAGCATCTACCACACATAACCAGCCAAGATCATCCATATTTCTTTAAGGTAAAACATTTCCATGAGCAAGGAGGCTGAATGAAGAATTCACATACGACAAGTACGGTAAATAACAGCAAGAAAGCCCCAGTCACCATGAGCACTGGGCTTGGACTGCAACATTTCTGTGCACTTTAACATAACAGCCTCCCCTCTGTCTATATCCATGACTGTACATTTGTCTGACATTTAGCGGACAGGGAAGGAAACACAAGAGAAATGGGAAAGACTGGGTAAGGTCTCCGCCAGGGAAGGGAAACTGGACCTGCCAGGGAAAAAGGAGCAAAACCCTCAGTTAGGAAAAGGCACAGGCGGGGAGGTGTAGCCTCCAAAGCTCCTCAGGGAAGCTCCAGGGGGCAGTGGGCCAAGGAGGAGGGGCTGCATTTGCAAAGGACCCACCTGCAGCCTGGTGCAGTGAGGACAGAGTGTGGTGATCCCAGAGGACCTGACTGTGTGTGTGTGTGTGTGTGTGTGTGTGTGTGTGCGCGCGCGCCCAGCAAGGCACTTCAGTGGCAACATGGCAACCTTTTTGTTTAACCTCCTCTGCCCTAGGGCCACTCCCCCATGCATTGGCAGTCACCCCAAGGCCAAGAGTGAGACACCCCCACAGGAAGCAGCAGCTGGATGGGTTTATAGGACCTCTGGGTGGGGCCTTGGAAGACAGGAGGAGGCTTTGGGATGGGACCGAGGTTGCTGCTGGAGCTGGGGGCATTTCCCACAAGGCTGGGACGGTATGAGGTGCTCACTGGTAGTGCGCGTACTGAGGATGGACCTGCCCTGCTATGAGGAAGCTGACAAGTCCACTGTGGATCACACTATTGCTCCCCAGGGGTGCTTTTACGATTTCTGTCTTCAGTTCTGGTGCTTGGTGACCACGCACCTAAGACTACCAGTGTGATTGTCTTTGTATTCTTCTGCTTGGGGCCTGCTGAGTCGCTCCACTGGGTGTTGTTGATGCTTTCCATCACAGAAAACAGAAAATACATTTTCTGTTCCATTATCTTTTTTCTTTCCCTGTTGCACAGACATAGAGTACATGATATGGTCCTATAGGTTGTGAAAACCCTGTTCATTTTTGTAATTGTTTGTGTTCTCTGAATAGGCCAATTTCCATGATTTTTTTTTAAATTTTAAAATGAAAAAGGAATAAAAATGATACAGAATTTCAAAACAAAATAGATTTATGCTGGTTAATATATTGCATATTGGGCTGGGGATTTAGCTCAGTGGCACAAACACCTGCCTGACAAGTGCGAGGTCATGAGTTCGATTCCCGTTACCAAAAAAAGAAAAAAAAAGAAAAAAGAAAAAAATATGTTGCGTATTGTCATCTTCAAAGTAGTTCAGATTACAAGGCATGAAAAACATGATCAAACAATCATACAATGAAAGCACAAGCTACTCTTTTTGATGAACTAACAGATATTAGTAGTATAGTTATCTATCTTGTATATATAACCTTTTTCCTTCTTTCTTTTCTCCTTTCCCCATCCCAGTTGTTCTTTCCTTATGAGCACTTTCTTTCCCTTTTGCTTTCACAATATCTATTAAATCTTATTTATTCTTTCAGTTTCTTACACTAGGGAAACAACACAATATTTACACAGGTGAGTCTGATTTATTTCACTTATGCGTATGGTCTCCAGTTGCATCCATTTACCTATGGCCATCTTTCTTTAGGTATACTACCTTGACTTCTGTTGTCTCCAACCTGCTAGTTCTCAAGTCTTCTTTTATAAAAATACAGATTTCCATTTTCTATGGACACATTCCATGCATTCATTTATTACTAGCACCTTTTCTTTACGTCCTCACACATTCTGATAGCTGTTTTAAAGTCTGCTTTGGGGCTGGGGATTTAGCTCAGTGGTTTAAGCACCTGTCTGACAAGAGTGGGGCTGCAAGTTTAATCCCCGGTACAAAAAAAAAAGTTTGCTTTGAGTCAGGCCAGGGTCTGCTTTTCTCATTTGCCACTTACAGTGGGGCTGACCCAACCCCCTATGGTAGCCACACAGCTCCAGCAGCTAAGGGCTCAAGAATAACAGGTCTGCTGTCACTATGTCTTTTAATTCTAGGTATAGAAGAAAGAGCCCCCTATCACACACAGACAAACTTGTGTCCTATGGTCAAGGATGCCCACTTACCGTGTGTCCTTGGAAGGTTTTGACTGGACGGTCGCAGCCGAGTCTGCACACGTGAATACACATATCCGTGCTACAAGAGGCGAAAGTAGTGTTGTTCTGCCAGTCCACATCGAGAGCCGGGGCTGCGGGTAGGGCAGAGGGAACACATTTACACTCTCACTGTGCACAGCTTGAGGGACTTAGAGAAACTAATGCATCATCAAGAAGCCTCATCTCTGCTATAGTAACAGAGTAAGGAGCACTTTCAACATGAATGCAGGCTCTGTCCTGCAAAGACTCAAAAGGCTGTCTCCTTCCAGCTTGTAGGGACAAGCTGCCTCTGGAAAGTGACCCTCCGCCATCTCCTGAGCCTCAGGGGCGCTGCATGTCTGGCTCCCACTGTAGAGGTGAGAAGGGGAGGTCACAGCAGGGGGATGCCCACTCATGCCCCCTGCAGGTTCTGGGTTAATTTTACACAGGGTGTAGCCAAAGGGAGAAGGAGAAGACTGTATACTCTATGCTCAAGATACTTAGATTAATGCAGTTTGATCAATTTTGCATGGATATATCTGGTAATCTAAGCAGCTCTTTTGAAGATAACAATATGCAATATAGCAAATTTCTGTCATCTTGTTTTGAAAGCGTATATTGTTATTGCTCTGGGTTTCTTGTAGCTGTTGCTTCTCTTTTTCTTTTCTCTGTTTATTTTTCTTTCTTTTTTTTTTTTTTTTTTAAGATACTTTGATTAAACAAATCTGCCACACACTAACACAGCCCACTGCGGAGTGGGTAACTGGTCTCCCGACAGCACCCTGGCAAACAGTGGTGGGCGTACAGCACAGGACTAGGCAGAACATCCTGCTCCTCCTCCCTAGCTCCAGGGGGTTCACCATTCCCACCACCAACCACTCTTCCTGCTACTCTCACACCCCTGCCTCCTGACCTTTGCCCACTTGCTGGTTCACAGGGTGCTTCTTCATAGTGACAGGAACACCAGAAACAACAGGGATGGCCTGGAGGCGAAGCTCCCTGATCTTCCCGGCACACGGTGCTCATCCGTGACTTTCTGGCTTCTCTTGTGGACCTTTAGCACCACCCGTCAGCACCAGGGCAGGCCAGGGAGAGAGCCCAGGAGCCAGTGACTCCGTGCATGCTAATTCCAGGGCCCTTGGCATCACCCTTCCCTTCTCCTCAACACTGGGACAGCTAAATAATCACTTCAGGGTCAGCCTGTGAACCCCCAAAACACAGCGGTGGCAGCAACTGCAGTCTCACCTGAATGAAAAGGAAACTGCTGCTTGGCTTCTCCTGTGTGGGCGTCCCAAATTATTGTCGTCTGTTCCACAAAGAGAAAAGTTAGCAGCTCTTTTCATAAAGCTTCCTCCAGAAAAATGTATCACGTGAGGAAAAATAATAAGCCTGATTTCCTTCCAAATCAGCACGGTCCAAAAGAGGTGAGCCATGGGGCTTTTTTTTTTTTTTTTTCAATAGAATAAAACTTTTCCCCCCATAGGGCATTTCAAATATAAACATTAACAAGAAAAAAAAAATAACCAGTGAAGTTCACTTTAAGAATTTAGTTTACTCCAACACGGCTAAGATATTATTGTTTCAACATGTAATAGACGTAAATAAAAACATAAACGAGATGTGTGACATTCTTTGTTTAGCCCAGATATCTGAAGTGCTGTGTGTATTTTATCCTTGATGAAGAGTATTTTATCCTTGACGAAGGACACTAAGTTTTCCCATCTACCTGTGCTGGCAGGTGGCTGTTGCACAGGACAGAATAGGCTTCAGTGACACTTTGCAAAGCTACCAAAATTGGTGGGGGAGTCTCCCTCACCCCAAACTTAGAAAACCAGCGTTGGCGAACCTATGGGACATGTACCGCAAAAGGGCTGTTTGTTATCCCTGGAAGCTCTAAAAGGTTCGCCATCACTGACCTAGACCGTTATATCCTGGTGGAGGAGTAGGCAAACTCTGTCAGTGGTGAAACAGTAAGCATTTCAGGTCTTGAGGCTCATATGGTCTCTCTCACATCTGCTTAACTCTGCCATCATAACTGAAAGCAGTCTTGGACAATTCTCAGCAAAGAGATGTGGCTGTATACCAATAAAACTTTATGTAAAAGTAGAGGTGATGGGCTGGAGATTATTCAGCCTGTGTGGGTCACAGTCCACCAATTATGACATTTCTACATGTCGTGTTGAGGATGATACTTAAATATGATAAGGTTTAAATATGACTAAGTTTAAATACAACGATGGTTAGGGGTCAGGTAAGTCTTATTATATTAGGTTTTAGAACTTGAATGAACAGAAAGCTAATAAGGTGTTTAAATTATCCAGAAATCCTTAGAGAAGGTCCAGCTTTGTGGGAGCAGTGAATGTCCAATATTCAGTTCTTATTTCTTTTTTTTAAGGCTTTTTCTTTTATTTAAAAGGAAAAAGAGAAAAAACAAAACAAAACAAAACAATGTAAGGGTACAAGTAATACAGAACTACAAAAAAAAAAAAAAAAAAAAAAAACCCGTAAGAAATCACAGTTAATAGATTACACATTATCATCTTAGAGATAGTTGCTCAAGTCACAGGATCAAAGCACACAAAGCAGACATTCAAACAGAGAGACTGCAAACAACTGTTTGCAGTGATCCAACCAAAAACATTAATAAGGTCATCTATTTAACACCCCTAAACACCCTTGCAGTGTAACACCCCTATCCTTTAGAGCACTTTTTTTCCCTCTCTTTTTTACAACAAAATCTACACATTTTGGGTTTTATTACTCCTTAGTTCTTATTACTTTTTCTTTGGAAGAAAATAAAGTCAAATATGGCAAAACAAAGCTGTCAAAACAAGGAGAGACATAGCACATGATGTAAAAACACAGTACAAGGTTATCAACAGTGGTTACCATAATGCCTCTTGCTTCTTTAAAAAGAATTGTCTATCTCATTAGGTATTATAAAGTTGAACAAAACAGTAGACAACAAGACCAATAAAACCTAAACCTTGTAAACATTACAGGGCCTCAAAAAGAGATAATAGTCAAACCAGAATTGGCATCATAGTGAATATTATTGCCTTCAAAGTAGTTGCCTATACCCCCAAACTTGATACTGTCATACAGAACGGAACAGAGTCTAATCAGTCAAAACAAGATCGTGGGAGTATTACAGGACTTCAAATCAAGTTAATAGGAAATCAAAAAAGTTCCTATAATATATCCTGCTAATTTTTTGATTTTTCCCCTTAATTAAAAACATCATAAAAATAACTAAATAATTTTTTAATGAATAAGGGAGCGATTGAGATAAAAGAGGACATAACAACATAACAATGCAGGTCAAAGCATGATAATTTCAGCAACCTAGTGCTTCACCACCAAATAACCTGACTTAATGGTAGTTACTATAGTGTCTTTTTCCTTGAAATATTTGAATATAACTTCATATACTACAGCATCAAACATATCAAGTCAGTGTAAAACCATTCAGGTGGATGAAAGCATTGTAGGGTATTTAGAACCAGCTAACAGAAAACAAACAATAGTTTCTATATTATCTCTTTGCCTATAACAATTTTTGTTTATACTATCACATATAATAAAACTCAGCAAGATATATCATGATAGAACCAATGGAGACAGAAGAGCCATAGTTTGGTGGGGCTTCAAAACAAGATGATAGTAAATCAGCACTAGCTATTATGATGACTTGTTTTCTTCAAAATAGCTGTTTATTTCATCACAGGCCATAATATCAAGTAGCCCAGAATACAGCCATTCCAATTAATAAGTGAAAACTTTATAAGGCTTCAAGGCCACATAATGGAGAATCATGATTACCACATACTTTTATATATTTGAATCATTTCTTACATTAGGGAAACTATTTGGTATTCACACATGCGAGATTGATTTATTTCACTAATGAGTATGGTCTCAAGCTGCGCCCATTTATTGATAAATATCTCAATGTGATCCTTCTTTATAGCTGAGTAGTACTCCATTGTATAGAAATACCAGCGCTTTTTTATCCATTCCTCAGTTGATGGACACTTGGGTTGTTTCCAAGATCTGGAGATTACAAATTGTGCTGCGATAAACACAGGTGCACATATATCGCTGTGGTATGATGCTTTCAATTCTTCTGGGAATATGCCTAGAAGTGGAATAGCTGGAACAAATGGGACTTCCAATCCCAGCTTTTTGAGAAATCTCCAGACTCACCTCCACAAAGGTTGTACCAGTCTACACTCCCACCAACAGTGCAGGAGAGTTCCTTTTTTTCCCACAGCCTCTCCAGCATTTGTTGTTGTTGGTTTTCTCGATCCTGGCCATTCTTTCAGGAGTCAGATGGTATCTCAGTGTGGTTTTAAGTTGCATTTCTCTAATGACTAATGACAATGAACATTTTTTCATGTATTTATTTGCCATTTGTATTTCTTCATCTGAGAAGTGTGTACTCATCTCAGATGCCCATTTTTGGATTGGATCTTTGAATTTTGGGAGTCTGATTTTATTTAATTCTTTATATGTTTTAGACAGAAGTCCTTTGTCTGAGGGAGAGTTCACTAAGATTTTTCCCCAGTTTGTGGGTTTTCTTTTCACTATGCTGGAGATTTCTTTTGACATGCAGAAACTTTTTAATAAGAGGTGGTCCCAGTTATTGATTCTGGGAAATATTTCCCGTGCAATTTGACTCCTGTTCATGAATTCTCTACCTACTCCTATGTCTTCAAGGTTTCTACCCAATTTGTCTCCCAATAGATTTATTGTTTCTGTTTTAATATTCAGATCTTTGACCCATTTAGATTTTAATTTAGTACATGGTGATAAGCATGGGTCTAGTTTTAGTTTTGGCAAATAGCCAGTTTTTCCAACACCATTTATTAAAGAGACTGTCGTTCTTCCAGTGAACCTGCTTGGCTCCTTTATCAAAGATAAGGTGGTTGAGTGCATTTGTAGTTGTGGTTGTATCTTTTTTTTTTTTTTTTATTTAAAGAGAAAAAAAAGAAAGGAAATAAAATAAAAAAAAACAAAGCAGTAAAAGGGTACAAATAATACAGAATTTCAAGGAAAAAATACAGTAAGATATCACTAGTTAATAAGTTACCTATTGTCATCTTTGAATAGTTGTTCAAATTATAAAATTAAAGCATGTAAAGTGAACATTCATACAATGAGATTGCAGACAGTGCCAATCAATGATCCAAGAAAAGTTCAGTAATATGGATTTCCATCCTACACACTCAAACATACATGCAGTTATATCCCTTAGACTACCTTCCTTTTCTCTCTTTTTAATAACAATTACACTTTTTGGGTTTTTTTACTCCCACAATTCTTATTATTTTTTTGGAGAGAATAAAACCTAACGTGGCTAAATAAAACAGAGTCGGTTAGAACAAAAGGATGTTAATTTTATTGGGATTGCATTGAATCTGTATAACACTTTTGGGAGAATGGCCATTTTCACAATGTTTGTTCTTCCTATCCATGAGCAAGGGATGTCTTTCCATTTTCTGAGATCATCTTCAATTTCCTTTTTCAGTGTATTATAATTTTCACTGTATAAGTCTTTCACTTCTTTCGTAAGAGTAATTCCTAAATATTTCATTTTTTTGCTTGCTAATGTGAATAGTCCAGTTTCTCTTATTTCCCTCTCTGTAATTTTGTTGTTCGTGTATAGGAATGCTATTGATTTCTGAGTATTGATTTTGTATCCAGCCACATTACTGAATTTATTTTATTTAAGTCTTTCAATGGAGTTTAGGGGGTCTTCTATGTAGAGTATCATGTCATCTGCAAACAATGATAATTTAACTTCTTGTTTTCCAATCTGTACCCCTTTTATTTCTCTCTCTTGCCTAATTGCTCTGGTTAGTACTTCTAGTACTATATTAAATAGGAGTGGTGATAAGGGACATCCTTGTCTTGTGCCTGATTTTAAAGTAAAGGCTTTCAGTTTTTGGCCATTTAGTATGATGCTGGCTGTTGGTTTGTCATAAATGGCCTTTATTATATTGAGGTAAAGACCATCTATACCAATTTTCTGTAAAGTTCTTATCATGAATGAATGTTGGACCTTATCGAAGGCTTTTTCTGCATCTATAGAAATGACCATGTGATTCTTACTTTTGGCTTTATTGATATGGTGGATTACATTTATTGATTTATGTATGTTAAACCATCTCTGCATGCCTGGGATGAATCCCACTTGGTCATGGTGTATAATCTTCTTGATAATTTACTGCATCCTCTTTGCCAATATTTTATTGAGGATTTTTGCATTTGTGTTCATTAGGGAGATTGGTCCATAGTTCTCTTTTTTAGTTGGGTCTTTCTCAGGTTTTGGTACTAGAGTAATATTTGCTTCCAGGAATGACTTAGGAAGGATTCCTTCCCTTTCAATTTTATTGAATAGTTTGAGTAGTGTCGGCATTAGGTCTTCTTTGTATTTGTTGTACAACTCTGCAGTGAATCCGTCTGGGCCTGGGCTCTTCTTTGTAGGTAAGGACTTAATTACAATTTCAATTTCATTAATAGACATTGGGTTATTCAGCAGTTTTACATCCTCTTGATCTAGGTTTGGTACTTCATATGTTTCTAGTAATCTATTTCTTCTGTGTTATCAAACCTTTGAGAGCAGAGGTTTTTGAAATACGTGTTGATGATCTTCTGTATTTCTGTAGAGTCTGTAGTGATTTCACGTTTTTCATTTCTTATTGCATGAATTTGAGCTTTTTCTTCCTTTTTTAAAATAAGGTTGGCTAGGGGCTTATCAATTTTATTTATTCTTTCAAATAACGAACTCTTTGATTCGTTGATTCTTTGGATTGTTTTCTTAGTCTCTATTGCATTGATTTCTGCTCTGATTTTTATAATTTCCTCCCTTCTTTTGGCTTTGGGCTTGACTTGCTCTTCTTTTTCTAGCTGTTTGAGGTGTAGCATCAGGTTATTTATTTGTATTCATTCTGTTTTCTTGATGTAGGAACTCAGTGCAATAAATTTTCCTCTGAGGATGGCTTTCATTGCATCCCACAGATTCCAGTAAGTTGTATCTGTATTTTCATTTTCTTGTAGGTATTGTTTAATTTCTTCTTTAATTTCCTCTGTGACCCATTGATTACTCAAGAGTGTGTTATTTAGTTTCCATGTGTTTGTGGGATTTTTGCAGTATCTTTTATCATTAATTTCTAATTTCAAAGCACTATGATCTGATAACATGCAAGGGATGATTTCACCTCTTTTGCATTTGTTTAAATATGTTCTGTGAGCTAATATATGGTCTATTTTAAAGAATGACACATGTACTGCTGAGTAGAATGTGTATTCTGATGTTGTTGGAACATTCTGTGTATGTCTATCAAGTCCATTTGTTCACAGGTGTGATTCAATTCTGTTATTTCTTTGCTCATTTTCTGTGTGGTTGATCTGTCCCTTGGTGTCAGTGGCGTATTGAGGTCCCCTGTTACAATTGTGTTACTGATAATTTGAGTTTTCATTTCTGTTAATAGTTGTTTTATATAACTGGATGCTCTGGAGTTTGGTGCATATATATTTAAGATACTTATCTCTTCCTCTTGGAGTTTTCCCCTAATGAGTATGTAGTGACCTTCTTTGTCCTTTATGATCATTGTTGGTTTAAAGTTCATGTTATCCGCAAACAGAATGGCTACTCCTGCTTTTTTTTGGATTCCTGTTGCATGAAGTATTGTTTTCCATCCTTTGACTTTCACTCTGTATCCTTCTGGGTTAGATGGGTTTCCTGTAAACAGCATATGGTTCTATTTTGTTTCTCGATCCATTCTGCTAGTCTGTTTCTTTTGATTGGTGCATTGAGACCATTTACATTAATGGTCATAACTGTTATATGCTGGTTTATTGTTGACATGTTATCTCTCTGCTGTTGCATCTTTATCTTTCTGTTCTGTTTAATTATCTGCTTTGCTTAGTGGTTTTTTCCTTTGTGTATCTAAACTGTCTCTCAATATTTTTTGCAGGGTTGGCTTGGTGTTCATGAAGTTCTTCAGCTGTTTGTCATGGAAGTATCGTATTTCACCACTGATTTTGAATCATAGTTTTTCAGGATACATCAGTCTAGGTTGGAAATCATTTTGCTTTAGGATCTGGAATACTTCACTCCATGCTCTTCCTGACTTTATTGTTTGTGCTGAGAAGTCTGCTGTGATTCTGATAGGTTTTCCTTTATAAGTGATCTGTCTTTTCTTTTTCTTTTTTATCAGTACTGGGGATTGAACTCACGACTGCCTGCTTGCAAGGCAGCCACTTATGCCACTGAGCTAAATCCCCAGTGCCTGATCTGTCTTTTCTGACAGCTTTTAATAATCTATTCTTGTGTTGGATTTCTGGGATGGTGATTATTATATGTCTGGGTGTAGTTTTATTTTCATTATGACTCTTTGGAGTTCTATAGGCTTCACTGAACCTGATGTTGGTTTCTGATCTCATGCTTTGGAAATTTTCAGCTATTACTTCTCTAAATATCCTCTTGACATCCTTTTCTTTTTCATTGTCCCCTTCTTTTTCATTAATCCCTATCAATCTTATGTTGTTTTTCTTTGCGTCTTCTTGCAGTTGTTGAACTGTTATATCCTGATTCCTTGTTATTTTTAAAACATCTTCCTTTCCTGTTCACTGGCTACAATCCTGTCTTCAAGGACTGAAATTCTATCTTAACTTTCATTAAAGCAGTTTTTACAGGTTTCAGTGGAGTTTTTGATTTCCTGTATATCTCTGCATCTGCTTTATGTATTGTTTGTTTCTTATATTGCTCATCTAGGGATTCTATCTTTTTGTTTAGTTCCTCCAATTTTTTAACTGTGTTTTCTTTAGATATATTCAGAATCTCTTTCATTTCTTTTATCATTTCTTCTTTTACCTGGGAAATTATTTTGAGTTTGAATTCCTTTCCGGAGTTGCTTGTTTACTTCAGTAACTATTATGTCTGATATTTGAGGTGTATGGCATATATTTTCTTCTATATACATCGCTCCTAGGGTTTCTTGAGATGGGCTGGAGGTTTGAGGTTGTAATTTAGTCTTTCGTTTTGTCATTTTCCTATATATCTGTGTTTCAAATGTTATTTGAAAGCTTCCACAGGGTCTGATGGAAATCCACTTCTATGTTCGCACCTCCTGAGACTCTGGCACCCAACTAGTTCCCCCAGGCCGCTGGGCCTCTGGAACTGGTGATGCTCGCCTGCTTGCTTAGAAATCCACAGTCCTCCAGACACACGGGGAGGTAGATGCAGGTGCCCCAGATATGCCCAGTCCTTAATCTGCACCCAGATGGTGTGAGAGTCCTTCTGTTAGTCTTTTTGAGACAAGGTCTCACTATGCAATTCAGGCTGGCCTTGGGCTCACTTTGTAGCTCGGACTGGTCTTGAACTTGCAAATGATTCTCCTGCCTCAGCCTCCCAAGTGCTGGGATTACAGAAGAGAGCCACCATGCCTGGCCAGTATTCAGTTCTTGACAATACTTCCTTTCCACAGCTATGTTTTATGGATTGGATAAAAAATATGACCCCAAAGGCTATTGTGTTCAGAAGGGAGGCTTCTGGAAGGGGTGCTAGCCTTATCCATCCATCAGTGCACTAAAGAGTCATGGGAAATGGTTAGGAGTTTTAGCCTAGAAGAGGAAGAAGGTCACTAGGGATATGCACTGGAAGAGTGTATCTTGTCCCTGGCCCCCCTTTTCTGAATCTTTCCCTTTCACTCTGCTTACCATAAACCATGAGGTGACAGCTGTTTCCACCATGCCCTTCCACCAAAATGTTTCTACCTGCTGGCTTCAGCCAGCCAACCAGGTACTGTACCCTTTGAAACCATGAGCCAAACTAAAACTCTCCTCCTTTTCATTGATTTTGGTCACAGCTCTGAAAAGCTGACTAATACACGTAGTATTAGTCATGACTCCTAGGTATGAGGGTCACAACTCCAGTGAGCCTGTGTCATGGTTTATGTCTGTGTCCCCCAGGCCTCATCAGTTTGCATTGTATAGTTGTGATTGGTTCATTGTCTAGTGCTTGGATTGATGGTGTCAGTGCTCTACCCACATAGGGGTGGAGCCAGGATGTGATGTAATGGCAGGAAGAAGGTGTGTCTTGGTCTTTGCCGGTTCAAGCTTGCTGTTTGCACCCGCCATGAAAGTGGCCCAGCCATGCCCACCTGCCTGGGAGCCTACTGAGTGTGGACTGAAACCTCCAAAAACTGTAAGAAATAAACCTTTCCTTTCCCAACTTGGGCATCAGGTATTTTGTCTCAGCGACGAGTAAAAAGTAACTAAGACAGCCTGTCACCTGACAACTGGGGAAACATGCCCAGAGAGGATGAGATGACTGGGTACATCAGACTTGGACTTATCTCCCTAAGATTGGTCTTCCAGATGCATGTGGATATGAGGCCACTGCATTTACCTAGCAGCGCTGCCCAGGGACACAGCAAGGGATTCTACAAGGACTCCAGGAGTCATCAGGGAGTCTACCCTGGTACCTGAATCTCTCAGAAATCTGCTGTCTATAAGGGGAAGCGGCAGTTTATAAAAGAACTGCAGAAGAATGGAGAAGAAAGCAGAAGGTGGGTGACCAAAAACAGTGCTGGTTACTTAAATGGCCCAGGGGGTAAAAGGTGGCCAAGGGTGTACCTCATCCCAGTTTCTCCTTGAAGCCAAGAAGGTGTGCAACATGGAGATTTTCCTGAACAATGTTCCTTAAAAAGAAGGACAAGCCTGTCCCAGGCCTATAAAGCAACACTGTATTATGACATGCTGTGTTATAAATTAAAGGGAAGATCAAGACCTCAAACACAAACAGAGCCTAAACAAGCCCTTTTGATATCTTCAGGGGAAGCAGCAAGCCTGAGAATTCAAAGACACTGTGAAACTACAGACAAATAAGCAGCTACAGATCAAAGCAATGTATTGTAAGCTGATACTCACTTTGTCTACACCAGCACTCAAAATGTAATTCCCCTTCTTGTTCCACTTCAAGGCAAAGATAGGTCCTTTATGCTGGCCTAAGGTGCTAGCCAAGTTACCTGGGAGGTAAAAGCAAACACATGCATAGACACCTCAGAATTACCAACTGCTCACAGGCGGAGGGCCCTCTTCTTGGACCCAGCACAAGGGACTCAGGACTTACCATCCTCTGTCCATATTCTTGCAAAACCGTCGTAGGAACCTGTAGCCAGCAGTGTCCCGTCGCTCTGGGGGCCATAAGGAGACACGAAACACTTCAGGATCTCCCCAGGGGAATGACCCTAGGGAGCCCACCTTCCCACTGCAGAGCTCCCCCAGCATCCTTCATGGAGAGGCCATGTCTCCTAGCGCCCAGCCTGCTGCCTGTCTGCACAGTCTCCTCACAAATGCTTGGAATCTGGGCCCCTGTACCAGCATGCTGGGATGGCAGCTAACACACAGGAGTCATCCCCATATACATATCCCGCCCCCCTCCAGCATAGGGGGAGGAACTCAGAGCTGCACCCCTGGCCCTTTCAACATATTATTTTGAGACAGGGTGTTTTGCTGCATCACCCAGGCTGGGCTCCTACATGCAATCATCCTGCTTCATCCTCCCGCATAGCTGGGATTCCGGGAGTGCCCACCGCCCTTTGTGTCCGTCTGTCTCCGTGTATGTATGTGCCTGGCGCTGTCTCAGGGGGCGAATGTTGCTTACGTTCCAGTCCAGCGAGGTGACATCCTTGTTGCTCGGGACGTCATGGCCCCCCTCTCGGATACAATGCCTCAGCACGAGCTGTGTGGAGCCTCCATTGCTGTTCTCGTTGAGGTTCCATATCCGAGCGGTGGAGTCGCCGGATCTGCGGAAAGAGATACAGCAGGCTGAACCCTGGCACTGGCACCAGAACTGGCAGAGTGGAGCCAACAAAGCTCAGGGAGGCTTGCCCTTGGGCCAGGACTCCTCCTTCAGCATGGAGGCACAGCGTCCTCTCCATCTTGCCAGCTCACCATAGTCCCTCCTTGCCATCCAGGACATGAATGCCTTCATACGGCTTTGCATGCACCCACTTACAGCAGACACAGCCTGGCACAAGGTTTGCCATAGTGCACACCAGGCACACATTCACATTCTACAACCACCCAGGACCCTGGAGGACCCTCTGTCCTGAAATCCTTACCCAGAGGCTAGCAGGTCACTGACAGGATTCCAGGCACAAATGAACACCTCGGACTCGTGGCCCCGAAGGACGGTGGCTTTGCTGGAAGGAATTTCAACATCTCCATCGATCTCCATGGGCTTTGAGTGGTTGTCTGTCACAGAGGCACAGAGACACACATGATGATGCTCGCAGGAAGAAGGAGCCTGCAGAACTGCCCGAGCAATCCTTGCCTTTACGTTTCGGGGCAGCGCTGCCCCCAGGGCCTCACTGACTATGGCTGCTGTGCAGTGGGTGCCTGGGTTCTTTCTAGATTGGCAGCACTGTAGCCTGGGTCTGATCAGATCCTAGGCTTCATGAGCTGCAAGCAGGGTGCCTCACTGTGGGAATGCAACAAGATGGTGGCCCCTATAAGAGGTGGCACCCAGTGGAATGTCATCCCTGGCCCCACCCAGTCTGCTCAGACTTCAGGTTCCACCATGGGCGCTCTCCCTCACACATGTTCCCCTCAAACCCCAGACCATGCCCAGGTGGCACAACTGGCCTGATGCTGCCTGGACTTTCAACCTCCAAAACTACGACCTCAGTAGCTATAATTCCTTTATAAAACACCCAGCCTCGGGCATTCCATCACAGCAACAGCACACAAATCCAGCCATGCTTCCAATTTCACTGAAGAGGAAGCAGTTACTTATCCTTTAGAGCTGGGGTGGTGACCCCGGGGCGGGGGGGGGGGGGGAGTCTGGTTCACTGCTGACTGTTTCTATACGCAGAGGTGGTGGCATGGCCACTTTCATGTCTATGCTCTGCCCCTGGCTGCTCTATGGGCTGCATGGTGTCCCCTCCTGAGTCACATAGTGAAGTCCTGACTGTAGAACTCAGGAAGTGATTATACAGAGATGACATCTTTATAGAGGTGACTGGAGCAAAACAAGGGTCACTGATGCACGCTGAGGGGCAGCTCTGAGAGGACACAAGGAGAGGATGCTGTCTGGGGCGAGGAGAGAGTTATCTGTTGTTCCACAGCGGGAACCTTGGCCTGCTGCCTGCTGGCTGGAGGAACAGAGGCCCGTGGAAGAAGCCCCCTTCCTGAAGCCCCTTCATGGCCACCAAGCAGCTAAGGTGGTGGCCTAGAAGCTTCAAGTGACAACTACCTGCCCCTCTCAGGAAGTCAGCCAGCCCCTGCTTCACAGGAGTGAGAAAGTGACAACACACTGTCAGACAGGGGTGACAGTTATACCTGGTCAAGTTCATGGTAGGCGCAAGTGCATCCTTTTACATCTTTCCTGGAAAAGTTTTTGGTGAAAAACTGTGGGAAGAAAAGGATGCACTGCTCATTTGGTGGCAGATTGTCTGGGACTATGCCACTCCTGCTTCAAAGCATAAAAAAATAAGAAAAGCCTGCAGTCCTGGCTGGCCTTTGGCATTCCCATCCTCTCCAGGAGGTACAGTGCTGGCTGTGAAAGCCGCACCTGTTCTGCCACTGAGGGTCTCCTGAGATGGGTGCGATGGCTGAGGCAGCCTGGGGACCTTGGCCAGCCTGCAGTGTAAGGGACCTGGTGACCACACTGAGGCTCAGAAGCCACTGCACACTTGGCACAGGTGGCTGGGAAAGGCGTTGCCTCGACAGGCTGGTGTGAGCAGGGCCTAAGGTGGCCGTGCTGGGCTGTGTCCCAGGTTCCAGAGCTGTGAGCAGGGAACACCCACCCAAGAGAGAGGAGTCAGGTCTCTGGGTAGGGCGACACCTGGTCTGACACAGCAGAGGGCCCTGAAGGGTCCTTGGAATGGCTTTGGTTCCAGCAAGCATCTATACCCCAAGGCAGGGGGTTCTGAAGGTAGGCCCAGGACATGGACCTCTTTCCTGCCTGGCCTGTTTTTTTTTAAAAGACAAGGTCAAGCTTGGGGTGTCCTTCAACTTGCAGCAACCCTCCTGCTTCAGTCTCCCAAGTGCTGGGATCACAGGAGTGGGCCCACATGCCTGGCTCTGGCCTGAACTTAAAAGAATTTCTGATGTGGGAATGAGCTGGTAGAAGGTGTTCTATACCCAAGTAAGTTTCGTGACTTAAGTCACAGACAGACAAACACACACACAACCACATACACAAAAAAATGCAATACTCGTCTTTCTGTGACACAGAGCACCCCTGAGGTCCTACTGTCCACTGGCAGACATCTGCCACAGGAGGGACTAGGGCCATGGAGTTTCTTCCATGCCTGAGAGCAAACAGTGCACTGTGCGGGCCGTGGACCCTCCCACCCACCGCAGGTGGGGGAGATGACAAACACCTGCTCCTGTGACAGGGTGGACAGTGGTCAGCATGCACTTCCTCATGAGGAAGCTCCCTCTGGACACGCCACTGTTCCTTTGGAATGTGCCCCTTTCCCCTGCCTTCAAGCACAGTCGTATTCCTTGGACTCCAGCGCTGTGTCTTGGCACAGCTGTCTTCTCTATTCTGAGGCTTCTGGCCCCACGCAGAACTGCAGGTACTCTAACCTACTTGCCCCTGAACTGCTGCTAGGTTCCCGGCAGGCTCAGGGACGGTGCGACCAGCCATGCTGAATGCTACGGCCATAGCCTGGGTGTTCAAGGTCCCCCTGACTCCCACGGTAAAGAAGTCACCCCTCTGCATATGAAAAGCAAGCCGACCCTCAGGTCTCACAACCAAGGCTATCTGCCCACGAGCTGTGGCAGGCTTTGAGGCACATGCTCTTCTCTGCTCTGCCCAGCTCGGTGCCCACAAGGACATTGAGCCATGGTTTCTTAAGATTTGAGTGAAACTGCTGAGTTCCAACGTTTGCAGAAATTCTTCTGCACTGATTTCTCAGAGCTCACCAATTACAAGTGATTTTGTATGATGGGAGATTTCAAAAAACGACTACAGCTAGTTGCTTCTGGGTAACTAGAGGATTGCACCTGTATCAGTAGACAGTCAATAGATGACCTTTTGGGACAAGCCAGGTCCTGTCTCTGCTCCAGAATTCTTGGGTCATGAATATTGATTAAATATTGATTGAATATTAATTAAAGACCTCAGACTGGGGTCTCTTTATTTCTGGGCTAGGCAGATGGCCTTTACATCACCTGTCTGGTAAATTACTGGACAATCTGTAAGCTTTGGTCTGATTTTGGAGCTGGAGAGACAGACTTCCAGAGTTCACCTGCTTGGGCCTGTGACTGGCCAATGACCACTGCCTACAAGGCTCAGCTATGGGCTACAGCCATATCAGGAGTGACCAGTTGGCCCTCTGCAGATGAGCAGGCTGTAGAGATGGGACCACTGGAGTATGGTGCCAATGCCAATCTTCTTTCCTTTTTTCTTTTTCTTTTTTTTTTGAGACATGGGCTTGCTGTATAGTTCATGCTGCCCCAGAATTCACTATGTAGCTCAGGCTGGCCTCAAACCTGCAGCAATCCTCCTGCCTCAGCCTCTGGAGTGCAGGGATTACAGGTGTGACCCACCGCGCCTGGTTAATGTCAATCTTCTTGACTAGCTGCTGGGGCTGCCTGGGTGCTTGGAGGGAAATAATTTCCAAGGAAAGAACACACACATCCACATGTGCACACATACACATACACACCCACATGTTCACCACATGTAGGCACACACCATGCACACATGGACCATATGCGCTCCCACACACACAGAGCTTGTATGCGTACACACTCGTGGTACACGTATGCTTTGAATGTAGAGCTCAAGTAGAGTCCCTTGGTGCCTACAAAGCGATGAGTCAAAGTAGGGCGTGGGCAGGAATTCAGGCTTTCTGATTTATCTGCCAAATATTCTCAGGCAATTACCCAAAGGGGACTAATCTCCTGGGGCTTTACAAGACCAGGTAGGAGACTGCCCTGTGCCCAGGCCTGCAGCCTGGAAGTCACCATGAGGTTCACTCTTTTCCCACACCATGGCTGACCACCCTCAGCATGGGAGGCTCGCGGAGGAAAGGCCCTCAGGACCTTGCAGCTCCCACAGCAGCAAAAGGGTGAGACTTCCTACAACCAAGTACACGTAGACCTGGAGCCTAAGGACTGTGATGAGACAGATGGACTGCCAGGTGCTTCTGGCCTCACTGGAAGCAAATCTCAGACACGACTTTGGAGACCCAGAGAGCGGCCATCTAAAGTCCTTCAGATGTGCCCAGATGTGGAAGAGAACCACCGGCCGCAGGAGTCCAGCAGCCCACCCCACACTCACTGATTGCATGCGCTCCGTTCTCTTCCCCGTTCACTGTGGCCTCTCCGTTCTTCGGAGGGTTCTGCTGAGAAGCAGCTGCTGGCGCTGTCGTGGCTGCTGTTGTGGTTGCTGTCGCTGCTGCTGCCGCTGCCGCGGCACTGGCTTGCTGCTGAGCGAGCTTCTCCCGGAACGCCTGCTGCCGGGTCTGCACCACGTCGGGCATCACCGCGTCGATCAGGGACAGGGACTCTATGGGGCGGCCGTCAAACACCGTGCCATCCTGGGAAAGCAAGCAGGCCAGGCCGTGAGTGCACTGGGAGCCGGAGGAAAGGGCACAAAGGGTGGGTGAACGACAGGAAGGCACAGGGGACCTGACACTGCATAAATATCGGCCGAATCTAGACTTAGGGACATCTGAACACTACCACATTACCCCGCGATGCAAACCGTCACGCGAGGTGGCCAAGCTCCAGTAAGGGTCGGTTTGCCTTCCTGGAGGAGAGCCACCGCTCCAAGGCTGGAGCCCCTGGGCTCTACTGCCACCTAGTGGGTGGAGGCCGGCAATGCTGCTTGGCCCCCTGAATGCACAGGATGGGTGTTACTGGGTGCAGACACAATCACCAGCCCCAAACGCCCCAAACACGAGGCCACCACTTATGTGGGAAAGGGATGCTTTGGAATCACCCAACACAATTTAGAGGCAACTACACCATTCAGAGTTAGACGTCTGGCACGTCTGATAATAAAACAAGTACCTTTTTGCTACTTGACTCCCTGGATTCCAGGTATGGATCAAATACAGCCCTCCTATAACTGACAGAGAAATTGCTTGGTCCTGATTCCTAGTTTTGTGAGCATCTTTTGCTTTACTGCTTCTCACCTACCATGAAAGCATTTCTACACATTCTTAAAAATGCAGAGGGCATTGGGGATTTAGCTCAGTGGCATAAGCACCTGTCTAGTTAAAAAAAAAAAATGCAGGGGGAAGTTCCTTCCTTGGGAAGTGCTCCCAATCTGGACTGGAACTCAGCGTGCCTGACAGCTGAGTCTGGCTGGTGTGCAAATACGTGTGTATGTGTGTGCTCTGAACCTGAGCTACCTCGGCAATAAGAAAGAACCCAGGGGCAGAAGTTTTAGAGGAACACTGTATAAACAAAGTATGGCCTGGCTAATTCCACACTAAGATATTTGAAATAAGAACACTACAGAACAATACAGTATCACCTCCTCACTGCCCTGTCCCCCAGATTCCAGCCATGGGGTGGCCAGGGTGAACAGTCAAGGTGCTTCCATATCTCCTTCCTCTCTGATACAGTCCCATTCCAATGGGCGGCCGTGTCCCAGAAGGCAGTCATGCAGTAAAAGCACTTCGTTTAAACTCTGAAGCACATTGTCTCTGGCAGCCTGCCCTGCCCCCCTGAGTGACTTGAAATGTGACATCTTTCATTTGTCTCTAGACACAGCAGCCTTTGGATTGGGGACCTCGTCACTGTGAATGCGTCTATGCAAATGAAAGAAGATGGAAGTGCGTAGGCAGAGGGACGCCAAGTCATGAGTCGGGGGTGGGGAATCTGGGAGCCAGCAGGGAATCTGATACTTGTTTTTCTTAAGGATAAAGAGATGAGATGGGGCTTGACAAGACTGGTGGAAAAGCCGAACGCGTCCAACATGAAGAAAAGGGAGAAGAGTGTGAGGGAGGCGGCAACCTGGAGCATGCTAAGAGAGGGTGGTTTGTGGAGGATGGTGGAGGGACCCCAAGACAGAAAACAATGGTATATGTTACCAGGCCTGGGGCGGAACTATGTGCTTGGGTCATGGGAGGAGAAAGATGGACAGAAGAAGGGGCTGGGCAGCATGGACCCAAGATAAAGACTCGCGGGAAGATATTGAGAAACTCTTGGGTCACAGGCAGAGCTCCGGATGCAGAGGCAGGGGGCAAACAGGGGTTCTTCAGATCTTGGACAATGCTGGAATATGATGTGAAAGTAGGACACTTCTCAAAGGAACCACTGTTAAAGGCAGAAGGAGCCACGAGTGAATCAGTGGGATTTTTAGCCATCACTCCAACCCCTCCCTCATCTACACCACCAGCACAGTCACAGAAACTGTCTCTCAGCATCGTCTCACATAAAGGTCACTGGGTCTAGGTGCAGGGTCCCCATACCTCGTTGATGCTGATCTCAGCCTCCACATACTGCAGGCCCTTCTGCAGGATGGAGATGAGGGCAGCTGGTGGCACTAGTGTCCCATTGATGTTGGACTGGCTGATGTGGCTCTCAATCCCAAACGTGAAGGCCGAGTGGGAAAAACCTGCAGGGTGACAAAAGACAAGGCGACTGAGGGTCGAGTGGGGGAGGTGGGGAGGTGCTCTCATAGCACCGTGGGTTTCAACCATGCTTAATTAACAGGTAGGCCATGGCTATGAGGGGCTTCCGATTTCGGGTCAAGCAGGCAGAGAGAGAGAAGTACAAGACCAAAGGTTTTGGGACTGAGCCCCTTCCTATTTCTCTCTTGGCTTCCTGTCTACCATGAGGTAAGCCATACTGTTCTACCTCATGCTGCTGCGGTTATGCTCTGCTCACAGCCAGCCCAAAGGCTCCAGGGCCAAGTGACCAGAGACTGAAACCTTGGAAACCATAAGCTCACATAAACCTTTTTTTAGTATAAGCTCAGATACCTTGTTAAAGTAACAGAAAGCTAACAGATATGGGCATTTTGTAGACATCATGTGATATAGACAAAAATCGTAATATCCAAAAAATGCCACCAACACAGCACACCAATGGGGGGCTGGTTCTTTCCCCAAGTGATCACATAGCTCTGGCATCAGGACAGATCATCTGCCCACTGCAAGCCTGGGAAAAGATCCCAACTTGGCATGTGTATTAAGACATCTCCAGGACTCCTATCACTTTTGCATCACCCCCAAATAATCTCAAGTTGAAGCATTCTACATTGGGGCTATCTATATTAAAAAGCAAATATAACAAGAGTTTGCCCTGAATGCTCTGGTTCAATGTCTCATCACACAAACTCAACTGCAGGAGGTCACAGGCCCCAGTTCAGATCAGTTTAAAATCTCAGTGGAAAAGGCAAAGCTCTGAGATGGTCAATGTGATACTGAGTCACTTTCAGGAAATTTTCCTTTTCTGTTTTTATTTTTTCCCAGCATGGGGGAAGGACCCCAGGGCTACACCTGCAGGGAACTATGTTAGGCAAGTGTTCTGCCTTTGGGCTATGCCCCAGTCCTCTGCTGACTCTCCCCCTTCCTTCCCATTGCATTTCTCACTGCCTGTGTGGGAAGCTGCTACTAAATGAAATGATTACAAATTCTCAGACACTGCCAGATAAGCTATGGATGGAGGCAGCACTTGAAAGAGAATGTTCAAAAACAATGCCTTGGTGGTTGGGGCAATGGCTGCCTTGAGGCACTGGCAGGGGGGTATCAGGAGGGGGCGGGGAGGACTGGGAATGATCCAGAACCTTTTGTCAGGGGCAGAAAGGCAGCACCAGGAAGTCCAGCCTGAGGGGCAGCCAATCTCCTGGAGCTAGGTCACGATGACCTGGAGGTGATGGGGGATCAGTGTCCTTGGGAAATAGAGGCCTGGGGGAGGGGCTCTGGTGGGGAGTAGCATGGACACCCCCCTTCCATGCTCAGCTGCCTGGCCAGAGATGGAAGGTGGCTAGGGCACTCCATGGCGTGGCCTTAAACTGTCACACTCTTCAGTTTACCCGGATGGGGAGCAAACATCTGACACCATGCTTGGAATTCTGGGTTAGGGTCCTCTGCTCTCTGGTGAAGGCAGCACCTCCAGGCTCGGGCTCGGAACCTGGCTATCTTGGGGGCTGGGAGCTGCAGCCACTGCTGCTGCCAGGCATCTGTTTCCCTTCCAGTCAGCAGAATGGGACCTCCGATGGCTGGGGCATCCTCAGGTCACACACACACACACACACACACACACACACACACACACACACAGCCCCCCCCCCCCGCTCTACAATAAGAGATGCATACACACACACACACATTGACACCCTGCCTTGACCCTCTGCAATATTGGGGACACAAACACGCACACACACATATCCCTTTGCAATAACTGACACACATATGCACACCCCTCTGCAGTACCAGATATACACATGAACACCCTTCTGCAATGATACGCACACACTCTGCAAGAACAGACACACACATGCATCCCCCTCTGCAATAATGGACACACACATGCATACCCCTCTGCAACAACACAAGCACCCCTCTTCAGTAAGACACAAACATGCATACCTCTTTGCAATAACACACACACACCTCTCTGCAAGAACAGACACACACATGCACACCTCTCTGCAATACCGGACACACATGCACACCCCTCTGCAATAACGGATGCACAATGCACACCCCTTTGCAATATTGGACACACACATGCACATCCCTCTGCAATAACAGACACACGCATGCACATCCCAGTGCAATAACGCACAAGCCACTCTGCAATAACAGATACACACATGCACACCCCTTGCAATACCAGACACACACACACTCTTCTGCAATAACGGACACACATGCACACCTCTCTGCAAGATCGGACACACACACACGCATCCCCCTCTGCAATAACAGACACAATGCACATTCACCTGCAATAACACACACCCCTCTCTGCAGTACCGCACAGACACACGCACCCCCCTCCACAATAACAGATGGATACACACCCTCCTCTGCAAATACGGACACACACATGCATATCCCTCTGCAATAACACACACACCCGTGTGATAACAAATACACACACACACACACACCCTTCTGCAGTAATGGACATACATGAAAAACCCTCAGCAATAACAGACACAAGATGCACACACACACACACCCTCTGCAATAACTGAGATGCCCACTAGAGGGCAATGTTCTTCCACGAAGGAGCTGCGGGCCTGCACTCTATTTCCTCCATTGTGGTTTTCACTCTTCTCCACCCCCTCCTCCCCATCTACCCACTGTTCCTCCCCCATCGCCTGGTCCTAATGAATGCATCAAATATGCAGCCCATAGCTGCTATTAATTCTACAATTAGTTGCACAGAGCCATGCAAACTTCTTTTCCAAACCATACTTACTTCAGAGGCTCAGGATGTTGGAAGCAAAATCCTCAGTCCCTCTAATTCTTTATAAAATTGGTTATACACAACACAGCCACAGGTTTCATTTTGGCAGGTTTGTGTATGCACATAACATTCTCTGTTCACTGACTCTCCCCATTTGAGCTGCCCTGCTTCTTCCCCAATTTCACAGCTCTTCGGAGGGTGTTAGGGTGTATATTTTGTTCACCTCCACTCTCCCATCACCTGCCCTTCTGCTCACATCCTCTTACTCCCTTCTTCGAGTCTAATGATAGTCTCTCTCCTATTGTCCTATCATCTCTTTCAGATTCTTAGGGAGATCACTCAGGGTTTTGCTTTCTGAGTATGGCTTATTTTGTTCAACAGGATGGTCCCCAGATCCATCCATTTTCTTGCAAATGGCAGAACTTTGTTCTTCCTTATGGCAAATAATACGGTGTCTAAATATCACACTTCCTTTATCCATTCATCTGTGATGGGCACCTAGGCTGGACGCATAGCTTGGCTATTATGAATTGTGGCACCATAAGCCTGGAGATGCAGGCATCGCTGTAGTTGGTATGCCACCTTTACTGCTGTGGGGGTACCCCGAGGACTGGCATGAAATCCTCCAATCAAGACAGAAGATTGTGAATTGACATCCATATCTCCTGACTGGTATAAGATGAAACAGCTGACAAGACCCACGTCCCATGTTCATTCTGAAACAGGAGACAGAAGCCCTCTGGGGTCTGAATGTCGCTCCCCTCCATAGGTTGGGAACCAATACCCGACGTGACACTGGTGAGGGCTCCACCCTTATGAACGGGATTAAAAGGCACTGATAAACATATAAGCTCCCCTGCCACCTTCTGCCAGTGAGGCCACAGTGAGAAGGTGTCAGCTCCAAGAACAGGCTGTCACTGGACACTGATTCTCCTGGGACCTAACCTTGGACTTTCAGCCTCAAGAACTTCATCAATAAATAGTTGTTGTTTATAAATTACCCAGTCTGGGCTCTTTTGTTATAGCAGCTCGCAGAGTCAGACAATACCTAGGGTAGTGGTGGTGAACTTTTTTTTTTTTTTTCTTTTTTTGGTACCCGGGATTGAACTAACAACCGCGTGCTTAATCATGCTGCTGAGCTAAATCACCAGTGGCGGTGGTGAACTTCTTAGAGCTTTCGATGATGCAAATGGTCTGCTGTGGGGGCTGGAGATTTAGCTCAGTGGCATAAGCGCCTGTCTTGCAAGCAGGCAGTCGTGAGTTCAATCCCTGGTACCGATAAAAAGGAAAAAGAAAAAAAAAAAAAAAAAAACAAACAAAAAACAAAAAACAAATGGCCTGCTGTGGCATGCATACCCAGGGCTTGACACCACTGTCCCCTTAGTTTCTTCAAGGAACCTGCAGACAGCAGGGGTTCTCAAGCTCAGCATCCTGACTTCTATGCAGGAGCTGCTTCCTCTCGGAGTAACAACCACAAACGTCCCCATCCACCATCCCACTGACTCCACCATTGTTGTGAACCAGAGACTCAGTGGAACGGATTCCCCTGAAGGCCACCCACCCCTGTGCTGTGCTCAGCTCCCTTTCTGCTGGATTCTGGGCTACTGCAGAGAAGCTACCTGCACTGGGTCATTCATAACTCACAGGAACAGGGAAGGACAGCTGTGGGAGGTGAGAATATTCACCAGGAGAAAAGGGGTTGTGAGCTCAATGATCTGAGAAGAGCTAAAACAAAGACCACCTTGAAAAAAAGCTGGTGAGAACTTCAAAAGTAAAGTCCGGTCCTCTTGGAATGAAAAGTGCTGCAGTCTCACAAGAAAGGAAAAAGTCTACATAGGAACCTGACTCACCAACTTAGGCAATAAAAATTTGGAACGCACTGATTTGGAACGCACTGAGTACGTGCTTTGTGTCTGCTGTAATTAGCACACTGCTAAGCCACAACCTCTTTCACAAACCATTTGAGCGAGACAGTGAACCATTATGCCTGGTTGAGGTTGACCTGATTCATCAGCAGAAACTGCTCGACTATTACTTGCCAGTCCTTAGAAATATCGCTTATTCTGCAGACATTTAACACTCAGGCAGCCAGGGGCAGGGTGGGGGGTTTGTATCTCTAGCTGTAGCAAATATCAAGGGCAGCAAATCTGTAGGCCCTGAGACCAAATTTTTACTGAGAATTCAGCAGACCTGCATATTCAGAATACCAATAGCCATCCAGAGCCAATGAGCACAGTAGGGTAGTTTCTAAATTGTCTGCATCAGGGGTTGGCACACAGAGGCTCACAGGCAGACTCGGGTTTGCAAGGAAAGTTCTACTGGAACAGTGCCAAAGCCACACTCTTGAGCTGATGAATTAACCATGGCTGCTTTTCCCCTGCAATAGTAGCACTTGAGTTGCTGCGCCAGAGACCGTAATATGAGCACAGAGCCGAAGATGTTTGCTCTCTGCTTCTTTATAGGAAGTGTGCTGATTGATTAGACACACTTGTGTGTGCGTGCATATACACACATACCTAAGGCTATCGCTACACAAATCTCTTAGCCATCTTAGCTCTGGACCCAGCTCACACACTGTCTCAGCTGTGAGTCCTCTCCTGGTGCCTCCTTTGAACATCACCTGCATTAGCTCTGGTGACAGACAACTCTTTGAATATTCACAATGTCCCCCAGTGCAGGAATTAGACTCTCCTCATCTGTGCTCTAAGTCTAGCACTGAAGGCAGAGCCACCGTTCAACAACAACCTGTGGAAACATCAAGTGACATTTAGGCAGCTGCAAAGGGTGACAAGCGCGTTCTTGGACACCAAAAACTGTCAGGTGGGGCCCATGCCTTCAAGGGTACTCAAAATACTTTTTAAGTGACCACAGGGACAAATGTTTGACAATTTAATAGCTGCTTTAACATGTGTTATGCACACAGAACAGAACTAGTACAGAACTGATGTCCACTGGTATGTTTTTAAAAAATTAGTTCAACATAAGGGAAAATGTTAACTAATACTTATAAAATACTCCAGGTGCACGCAAATATAGCAAAATTTCAAATGGCGGAGAAGAACAGAGGTTGAGAAATAAAAGTTCAGATGATAAGAGAGATACAGAAATTTTCAAAGAAAACAGGTAAACAATGCTCGCTACACACACTCTGCTACATGGAAAGCCTAGGAAATGCTGGGAGCCTGTTACCAGTCTTGGGCAGGGATTACTCAGCCACATCCTGCGGGACAAACCTGGCTCCTTGCCTGTTTTTGTAAATAAAGCTTTATTGGGATACATCTGTTCTCACGGGTTTAGGTATTTTCACTGGCTGCTTTTGTGCTAAAGATGTAGATGGATGGTTGAGACTCTGACTGAAATACTACCACCTGGCCCGCTACAGAAAGATTTCTCAACTCCAGTCTCCGGGAGACCAAGGTCGGGCTGGAAGGGCCAACCAGTGTGTAGGAAAGGAGTTTTCAAAAGCCTAGCTTACTTTCTGAGGCTGGCATCACTGTGACACCCATACTGGACAAGAGTACTGCAAAAATCTCAGGCTGGTTTGCTCAGGAAGGTAAATGCAAATACAGCAGATGAGGTACTAGCTAACTAAATCCTACAGTATATAAAAGGAACAAAAAGTTCCGGCCAAGTGAAGTTTATTGCAGGAACACAAGGTTTAATGTTAGCAAATAAATCAGCAACTTCACCTTTAAAAGGAGGCAATTCTGACTATCACAACCCAGAGGAAGTGGGAGGATATTGTGTTAACTGAAAGAAGCCGGGCACAGAAAAGACAGCTACTGCATGAACACATTTCTATGGGAAATCTAAAATAACAGAGCAGAGAATGGGGGCTACCAGGGGCCACTGGTCAAACAACTCGAAGGTTCATTTGCACAGGAGAAACAAGCCCAAGAGCTCTACATTTGGGAACTACTTACTGCATCTTCAAAATTGCTAAAAGTGGTTAGCTGCTCTCACCATGAAAAATGGTAAGTGTGCGAGGTAATGCATCTGTTAATTAGCTCCAAAGAGCTATGTGTACATATTTCAAAACACTGGGTGGTGCAGTATAAATACGATTTTAGTTGTCAATTACAGTGAAGACTGAATGAGTGAGGAAGCGCTGGAGCCTTCTGGCCTGTTCGGAAAAGTAGTTCTGCACCTCCGGCAGCGAGTCCAATTGTTTGAATACCCTGGTTTCTCATCCAGGAGGGGTGAGGCTGTTTCAACTTTCTTGGAGTAGGGAGGAAAAAACAGCTTCATTTGTGAAGGGCTCAGAATTATGCCTGGCACACAGCAAGGGCTCAATAACCGGCATCTCCTGCCACTGTGCCATCATAGCAGTGATGCGATAGAGGGACACTGAAAAGAGCAGGGGACTTGCTGACAGGTATGGGTAAGGGGCTAGAAGAAGGGGCAGTGGAAAAAGTACCATGGAAAAGCAGTGTTTGCACATGAGCTGCATTTTTGTTAGTGCTAGGGACAGAATGGTTCCCCACACTTCCCAATTCCCACATTGCTATCCTCACTTTACAGATGGTGGGGTCAGGCTCTGGGAGGAGCTGAGGTCCTGAGCAGGGAGCCTCCTGGATGGGACCAGAACCTTCATAAAAGAGACCCCATGGCACTGCCTCCCCAGCCCCCATGTAAAGACAGAGAGAGATGGCGCCATCTACAACCCAGGAAGTGGCTTCTCAGCAGACTCCAAATCTGTCACTGCCCCATTTTGTCTCGGACTTCCGGCCTCTAGGACTGTGACAAAGCAATCTGGGTCTTGTATAAATCATCCAAGGCTGCTGCACTCAGTGACTGAGCTAGATTGTGTCGGGATTCTAGAGCAGAAACAGCTTTTCCTTGGAGGTAAGCAGTGGCAGAGGAGTGACAGTGAGTGTGAGATTACAGGAAGCTGGAGGAAATGTCACCTGAGATATCAACAAGGAAGCAGTGTAGGATGGGGGTGGGGTGGGGATTGGGATGTGGAGCGGTCCCTGGATGGGCAGAGATAGGCACTCAGAATGGGGACAGCTACAGAGCAGGACACTGAACAGATACAGATGTGGGAGGGGAAAGAAAGGACACCACCTTGGGGACAATGTGTTTTAATAAGGGTGGCTGGAAGAGAAGGCACCCATGAAGTGATGGCCAGGGATCTCAGAGGAGAGCAACCAAGTTGTGCCTGACAGTCCAGACCACTTGTTTGTTAACTGGTCTGGAAAGGGGAAAGGGAATGGAATTTGGCAGGACATAAACTACCTCAAGGCTGGACAGTTTTAAGGTCACATTAGCATTTCAGGGCAGGCAGGCCTGAAGTGTGATGGTAAACTTTGTAAATAGGTGCCTTGCTAAGTTCTATAGTTGCTATTTTATTTAAAAGAGGAAATGTGAATTGTGTTCGATTTCTGTGCATCATCACTGACTTTTTTTCCTTCTTCTTCTTCTTAATTTTGAGACAGTCTTACTAGGTTGCCTAGGCTGGCTTTGAACTCACATAGTCTTCCTGCCTCAGCCTCCAAGAATACTGGAATTCCAGGCATTTACCACCCATGCCTGGCCTATCAACAACCTTTAAAGTAGCAAGGGATAATTTAAGCTTCGTACAAACATCTTTAATAGAATCTAACCTTTTTTTTTTTGGTGTTAAAACTAACAAAAGATTTTTTTGCTACATATTTAAGCCACTGTAATTAGAAACGATTTTCACTTAAATTGTTTTCCTCTTCTAACAAATTAACAACCACAAGAATGGCCAAGACTTACTTGCAAAATGTTGCTGGTTTTCATTTTAAAATTTTGTTTTTTATGAACTTAGTCAAAATGATGTCTTTTCTGTTCTGATAAACGTAAAAGAACTCATTTAAATAGATGGCCTATTTATTTCCTTCCCATTCCTGGTACAAAATACCCAACAGCTGCAATTTCAAAAAAGAGAGCTTTATTTGGTTCAGTTTCCAGTAGATCAGGCCATAGCCAGCTAAGGACAAGACAGCATGCCGGAAGGCTGTCGTGGAGGAAACTTGTTTAACCAACGGCAGCCAGGAAGCAGGAAGAGCAGTGAGGTCTTTTCCAGGTCTCCCCTCCCCCACCTCCTTCAACTTGGTCCCACCTCCAAACCCGCGAATGAGGCTGAGGGAATATTTTAGATCCAAACCACAACAGATGGGAGTGAGGAAAAGAAGCAGAATCTAGGTTTGTGTCCACAAACAAATTAGAAAAGTAAACTTCATTAAGATTGAACCACCAAAACTGAACTGGAACCAGGTATCTGGATGGTTATGAACACCTGGGCACACAAAAGAGCAACTGCATGGATTCTCACATCGTGCAACTGTAAGTGGCTGTCATCAAACCAAAAAAACAGGGTTGTAAAACAGTCTTTTATAGTTAAGAGGCATCGGCTTACAAGTAGCAGTGATACAAGAGGGATCCTAACTGAGCAGCCAGATCCCAGGTACTGTGCGTCCTGCACAGCTCCACGGATGCCCAGTCTTAAGTGTCTGTGGCTGGCCATATTCCACACAATTCATCACACATCATCACGCGTCACTACACATTATTACACATTGCAACGCATCACTGCTCGTCGACTAACATCATCACATGTCACCACGTCGCCATGTATTGTCACATGTCAGCACGCATCACTGCTCATCGCCCCATGTCATCACACGTCACTATGTCACCACATCGCCATACATTGCCATACATCATCATACCTCACCTCATGTTATCACATGTCACCACATGTCACCACACATCAACACATCGCAATATGTTACTACACGTTGCCACGCATCACTTCACCACACATTGCCTAGCATCTTCATACCTCGCCTTATGTCACTACGCATCATGCGTCATCACAAGTCGCCAGGCATCATTACCATACGCCACCACACATCATGCCGTCGCCACACATTACCAGACATTGCCACGCATCATCGCTCAACTCACGTCATCACACATCACTGCACGTCACCACATCGCCATGTATCATCACATGTTGCCATACATCCCTGCACATCACTATGTCACATTACCATACTTGCCATGCGTCATCATACCTAGCCTCACGTCATCACATGTTGAAGCGTCACACTTCACCACGTGGAAGCATGTCACACATTGCTATGCATCATCACGTCACCACACATTGCCATGCGTCATCACACGTCGCTGTTATCACCATACGTCACCACACAGCCATCATGCGTCGCCACACATCACCAGACATTGCCACGCATTATCGCTCGTCAACTCACGCCATCACACATCACATCATCACGTCACCACGTATCATCATGTCATCACACATCATTGCATCATCAACGTCACTGTACGTTACCACATTGCCCTATGTTGCCACGCGTCATTACACCTCACCCAAGTCATTACATGTCGTCACAAGTCACCACACATGAAGCGTCATCAACCGTCGCCATGCGTCACAGTATATCAACGTCATTACATGTCACCACACGTCATTATACCTCGCCCCACATCATCAGACATTGCCTTGCGCACACACAGTTCCATAGACAGCTGAAGTCAAACTCATATTTCAGGTTAGTGCTTTTCTTGTCTTTTCTGGTGGTGCCGCGGGCAGAATCAGGGCCTTGCAAGTGCTTGGCAAGTGACCTAGAGGCTGGTTTTGCACATGCCCAGTGGGCAACTAAAAGCAGGAAGAGCTTAGCCCCTCTGCCTTTTTTTTTTTATGGGGCAGGGGCAGGTACTGGGAATTAACCTCAAGACCTCACGCTTGCCAGGCAGGTGCTGTGCCACTGAGCTAAGTTCCTGGTCCCTGGGCCTTCATTTTATGTGGCTTGCTTTACCACCAGTCCCAGCCCGGCCCCGGACATGGAACACTGATCACTTTGGCAGCACCTGCCACATGAGGTTTGTGGGCCCTAAAAGTCTATCTCACCCATACCCTTTCAAGACTGAGAACATCACAGAAGAGGAATCTTCACAGAAGGAATCATCTGCAGTGACATCCAGTTTCCAGCTTTTACACCGCATCCCCAGAGAGGCCTACCAGTCTCGGTTCACTGAAACCAGAGTAGTTTTAGGTTCTGTGAAAAGTAGAGCTGCACCCTACTCCTCCAGGATCTCCCAGTGCGAGCAGCTGTCCGGTCACAGTAGCTGAATTGCCCCTGAACAACGGTGGCTCTTCCAGGACACATTCTAGCAGCCATGTGCTATGTGGTTCATTTCCAAGCCAAAAACTAGGGACAGGATACAATAGTGGTGGCCATGGATCAGCAGGGAAGAGGAAATGATTACCAAGAAGCACAGGACAGGGAGTGGTGGAGTGGCTGTCTTGGTGATGTTGGGGGTTGGTGACAGGACTGTACATGGGGGAAAAACTTGCAGACCTGTACTCTGAAAAAAAGGTGCATTTTACTGCATGTAAATTATGCCTTGACTTAAAAAAAAACATGAAATAAGGAGTGCAGATAAGAACAGAGTTGTGTTGGTGTTCTCTGAGGTTGTCAACTGAGACCCACAAGAATCATGTCCTCATTACACTACTATTCAATTCCCAGACCTCCCCTTCTTTACAGAAGGATGGTGATGTCACCCCCATTCTCCATGACATCATCTTTCTGTCCCTCCCTCACAGTAAGTCCCTGACTAACAAACATCTGACCTGTGAACTTTCACAGGGGTACTGTACAAGACTCACACTGTTGGCGTACAAATGAATCTGACTTATGAACAATTCTCCTGGAACGGAATTCATTCCTACGTTAAGGACTTGCTGTATGGAGCTTAGCTCAGTGTGGAGGATGCAACAAGGACACCCTGACATCTGTCATGAGAGTCCTCTAAACCCATTCACTCAGCTGTCTGCTCAAGGGACACCCATCCTCTGTCAATGCTCATGCCAGCAGGACTAGGGGGTGACATGCTTGTCACCCCTCTAGGCTCTGCCCATCAGGCCTTGAGCAACTCCCTGGGCTTGAGACAGTTTCCTGAATTCCATAATGCTCATCTCTCTCTCTCTCTCTCTCTCTCTCTCTCTCTCTCTCTCTTTAAATACCAGGATTGAACTTATGACCAAGTGCTTGCCAAGCAAGTGCTTACACTGCTGAGCTAAATCCCTGGCCTCCCTGCTCATCTCTTTAGACCTAGCCTCCTTGCAGTCAAAGTGCTTTTTATTCCCTTCCCATCTCAAAGGCTAGACTATCATGAGCAGCCAGCTCCTTCCTAGCTAAATTCACTGAAGTGGGGCTTTTATCCTGCTGTTTCACCTGTAGTACCTTTAGAGTATGTGTGAATTATTCAATGCTAAAGGCATGTATCTCGGAGAACAGGGAGGAAGCCCTTGAGTAAACACTTCATAGGCTTTTATTATGCCAACCTGAGCAATTTAGAAGTTTAACTATGACACTCAGCAGGAAGTCAAGGTCCTTACTTTGTAAACATCCCCATCCTGTGGAGGAGGGCAAGGAGATTCTGTAAGTGCTACACCTAGAGGAGAGATGACCTTTGTGTAACATAAAGGAGGAAAACAGGCTTCTCCCCCCAACCACTTTTGCTCTGGCTCTTTTGCTGGCTGCCGCCTTGAATTGTTGCCCCTGGACCATGCCACCCTCCCTTGGAGCCAGCTGATTATGGATTGACACTTCCACAGACAATGAGCTAAATAAACCTTCCCTTCCTTCATTTGGGGTGCTGGTTATTTTGTCCCAGCAATGAGAGAAAGGTAACCAAGACAGGCTCACAGGGACTCACTTGTCAATTTTTCCTTCTTTTCATGATAAGACAGAAATGGACTTTGGTTTCCTTTGCTAGATTCTGAAACATACTGGAGAGAACAATTCTGGTTTCATGTGTGATCCAGACTAGCAGCCTGCAGGAGCCCATGCAGACTGACAGGGTCACCAGGCTGGCTCCTGACTTCCCTCCCCAGAAGAAGGCCACTGTGCCAAGGTGCTCTGTCACCTCTCACACACAACATCTACCCAGACGGCCAAAGTGCCAGTGAGACAGACCCCAAATGACAGAGGCAAATGGACCCTTCCCTGAAGGTGGAACCAAACCAAGCCCTTTTGGCACTCAAGCTGGTCGTTTAAGAGATGCTTGGTACATAATTTAAGTCTCCCTTCTTAACTAGGATCCTTTCTCAGACTGCCACGACACTGCAGCTGTGACAATTGGCAAATGAACAGCACACATGGAGGGCTTTCTCATGGACGGCTTTCTCATGCCTGCAGAGCACACAGGTATTTGGGTGGCTCCTGGCTTCCTTCCCCAGAAGAGGGGATGCTTTCCTTCTGACGGACTGGGGAGAAGGTCTCTCAGTAAGGGCTTTCTCTGTTCAGTGAACAAGGATTGCAATGAAAATCCACCACCCCTCCAGCTGGGCGAGGTGGCCCACACCTAGAATCCCAGCATTCTGAGAGGCTGAGGCAGGAGGATCACAAGTGCCAGCACCTAGAGATGTAGCTGTCCTAATGTCATGGCCCAGTGCATTCCTCCTGTGTGTATATGTGCAGAGGCACGTGGTCACCCTGGTATAAACACACCTATTGCTCCACCTGCCTTTTCTAAGTGGAACACACACAACTGTGTGCATCTATAGCTGCTCTACTAGACTTATCATTCTTTTAGACTTACTCCTACTTAGAGAAAATAAGCAGCACGATATGCTCCGTTGTCTCAAGACCCCACATGGAGGGGCTGACCTGGACCCCTAGATCCAGGTCGGTAGGTCTGTGACATTTGCACGGTGATGTCAGCCAGCCAGGTGATGCACCACTGTGTCACAGTTTGGGGGAAGCCAGGGAAGAAGCTAAGGTGACCTAACATGCACTGCTGGCATCAGAGAACAAAACACATCCACGTTCCAA